AATTACAAGCTATACAGCTGCAGGGGAGGAGACACCAACTTTTATGTAGAATTCTGGAGCCCGACCAAACAGAAATTTAGCAGAGAATCTTATTTTGGTTTGTAATTTTGTTTTCACTGTTGAACACTGCTATGATTTAATTGCTGCCGCAAGTTATTTAAACATATCATTACATACGTTACTATGCAACATATAAAAAGGTAATACATATATTAAAGCATATGCACATGCAATACTTTTCTGTGGCATATGGGTGAATAATAGTGACTTCAGATATGAAGCTAACTCTCATCTAACTGAGTTTTATCAAGTAACCTCATAACTCTGATGCTAGCTTGAAAAAGTTACTTCTGATTTGCACTATTTGTGAAAACGTTACCCACTTCACCACCTAGAATCTTCTTTTGAGGTTGACATTTCTCTTTCTCTTGGCATTCTCTTTTCATGTATCATAGAATCATAGAACTCCGGGTTGGAAGGGACCTCAGGGATCATCTGGTCCAACCTTTCTTGCCAAAAGCACGGTCTAGGCAAGATGGCCCAGCTCCCTGTCCAGCGGAGTCTTGAAAGTGTCCAATGTTGGGGAATCCACCACTTCCCTGCGGAGATTTTTCCAACGGCTGATTGTTCTCATTGGGGAAAATTTTCCTCTGGTGTCCAGCTGGAATCTCCCCAGGAGTAACTTGTACCCATCACCCCTCATCTTTTCTGCGTGACTCCTTGTAAAAAGGGAGTCTCCATCTCCTTTGTAGCCACGGTGTAAATACTGGATCGTGGTGATAAGGTCTCCTGTGAGCCTTCTTTTCTCAAGGCTGAACAAACCCAATTCTCTCAGCCTTTCCTCATACGGAGGGCTTCCCAGTCCTTTAATCGTCTTGGTGGTCCTTCTCTGGACCTTCTCCAGCCTGTCCATGTCTTTTTTTGCAAAGCAGGGACCAAAACTGAACACAGTATTCCAGGTGTGGCCTGACAAGCCAGAGGATCAAAACTGATTTGGGGTGGTGGGAAGAAAGAAACATGATCCTTTTCAAGTTCCTTTCCAAATGAAACCAACCCCACTGACAGCCCCAAATCAGAACTCAAGGCTTTGCCCCGCAGGTCTTCTAAATCCATACTTTATCATGTGTTGTCCCCTTAAGAACTTTTGTCTTGTCTGTAGAAAAACCTGTTTCTGTTCCTTCGGCCACCTGACATTTATTTTAAAATATCTAATTCCTAATATGTGGTTATGAGTTTTGCAAGTAATGATTAATCCAGAAAATTTTTACCTCAATTGAAAAAGCCATCCTGAAACTAATTCCGTTAGTGTTGATTCCATTAAGCTTAACATTACTTGCCATCCAACGTATGAAAAATACACGCAATTTGCAAAAATAAACCCCACTTCTACATTATCCCTCTTTTCTTTCATATGTACTAGACTAGAGTATTGCTTTGTGTTCACAGCAACAAACTCACTTTCTCGCCCAACCCTTAGGGCTTCCTGCACATGGATTAAAAAGTCAAACCTGCGATAGGAACCAGTGAACTGGTGAGCACAACTGGGGGAAAATTCTAGTGAGTTCATACGTTTCAAAGAAAACGGTAAAATCTTCTCATTACACAGAGAAGAGATAATCCGCTCCGCATCGGGTTCATTCTGATCCTTTGACACTTACAAATATTCATGCTGCGAAGCAGATGGTTTTTCTGGCACATCTTGGGGTTTCCCTGAGAATTCGGCTTCTACTTGTTCCTTATGTGCTTGTCTCAGGAGCTCAGCCATTGAAACTTCTGCCTCACTCCTGGGAGTACTGTCCTGAAAAGGAGAATAACTGACGGACACGTCTTCCTCAGAGACAATAGGAGGGTGTTCAGTTGGCTCACTGTCCTTAGATATTCTGTGCTGTTCTTCTTGCTTATGTCTTGAACTGTACAGTTCTTCTGGCAGCGCAGAAAACCCTTTAAAAAACCAGAGAGACGAGAAATGTCATTACAAGTCTTGCGAGAATGCAGGAAGTCCTTTTCATTCCCCACGTGCATTTAAAATCCCTGGATGGGACACGTTACCTGACATTTTTAGACATCTTGAGCGGGAGAGGACATAACCTCTCCAAGTAGCTGAAGGAACACCAGATTACCAGAACTCTTGCCAAATAGTGAATCTAGGCAAAATAAAATTTACCCAGAATTTTACCTAGAGTAATTAATCTTGAAACCCTCAAAGTATGAAAGAAGATTCAGAACAGGTTTGTTCCAGCAGATCAGAATAGGTTTTAGTGACTCCCTCCCTCCCCCCATTATTTATCTGCTTATGGAAAAAATAACTGCACAACTACAGACAAGGAAATTCATACAGGACTAGGTGCAAGAAGCAGATAATTTACGTGCTTCCAAGAATAAGAACAAACCCACCCACCCCCAGCCCCAGATCCCAAAGGAAGGGCTCTCATTCTGCAAAAAATGTAAAATAACACACGCGTTTATTCTGTTCCACAGGCTACAAGTCACAAGCTTGGGCTTCTGATTTTCCTTACTCGCCACATTCACTAGGAACCTAATTGAACCCTGGAGAATAGCTCGGGGGAAAACATAACTGCTTGCACTGAATTTGAGCTGGACATGGAGGTTCTAAAACTAGTCGGTTGTAATACTAGAATGCTCATTAGAGCAAACAAGCTTCTATTCCTACATTCTTTTAAAGATGGGATGTTTGCAGCTGTCTGATACTTTACCAAGCTACTGGTTCAATACTAAGTTAAGGGTGTGAAAGTATCGCTTCCAGAAAAGAGAGAATTTTATTTCACAAAATTTGGAAGCGTTTCTTTAGTTTCCAACCACTGATCTAATCTACTAATCTTCTACACTTAAGAAATCCCACAGCATCGCAGCAGAATGCCGATACCCTGGATACTGTTAACAGATTATCCCAGTCAAACGTTCCATAACAGAAGCTATCGTTCAGAGGAGATAACCCGGGCAGTCTGGATCGGGAGGCGTTTACCTTCGCTGTGGTCCAATCCTATCGTCTGTTCAATTTCTGCGTAGGTGCGAGTGCCGTGGACCTGCATGGAGTCTATGCCGCTGGTCTCCATTAGGTGCACAATATCCATTCGGTTGATTTTTGTAAGACACTGGGTAAGATTTGTATCTGTGGCATTAGAACGACACCATGGAGCTGAGTTAAGGATTTCACACGCTCCCTCTTCCCTTCCATTTTCCATATGAAGGACATATATAGGATACTGAGCAATATAACATCGTATATAAAATACAGATGCATTTAGAAGCATTGCTATGTAAAATCTAAAATTAACTGAAAAATTGCTACTCATTTTGTTTTTTCCTCTAACAAATTTGTTTAGTTTCCCCAAACATTTTTTCAGTTTAGGAAAAAGAAGCCTCAGTGTTTTTCCGCTTCTTGGCTGTAAGATGTTCTGCCTTGCCCTCAAATAAACAGGATTAAACTAGTTTCTCCAAGAATCCTCTGATACGCCATGTTATACAGACAAGCTTACAAAAAAAAGTAAGTACAATCTACGGTCATTCTTTCTGTAGCCCAAATTTTACCCAAATTTTCTTTTGATTATAACACACATCTGTCACCTCCATGAGCAAATTTGAGGCAGTTATAAGTACTATCTCTGGAAACGAACCTGTTGCGTGTTTCCCATCCCTTTCAAGCCAGTATTTGAGGAGTGCATGGCTCTGGTCTTGAAGTGAATTAGGATTTTCAATGCGGATCTGGTGAATTTGCTCTTCTGTGAAATCCAGTTCTCTTGCCAGCTCTGAAAAAGAAATCCGGCTCTGTAAAGATGTCTTTTTCTTTCTCCCCGCCCGACACCTTTTTTTTTGCGGCTGTCAGCAGCAAAGGGGATTACCAACTTTTCTGAAACCAATTTCTCTTTGCTTCTATGTACCTTGTGTTATATTTAGAGACGATGTTAAACAGTAAATTCATGACAAAGACAGAAACGGGTGACGCCTAGAAGCGATGGGTCTGCGGGAGCTTCTCTTTCTTGTGTCTACTGTTCCCAGTTCTCAGAGGCACAACACTACTGACAAAATTTAGCAGCGACAAGCCGTCAAACAGAGTGTAGTTGCAGAAATAGCACACGAGCAGATAAAAATATCTCTAGTTACAGAGCACCACGCTCAGCAGATTCTACCCTCTGAAACGTCGAGTATTTCAGAAACTTTGATCAAAGTCTAGTAAAGGAATTCATTTTAAGTAACAGCATTTTGCAGGGCCAGATTGAAGCATAATACTCCTACTCCCCTGGACTTTTTTATTTAAAGAAAAGTAAATGTCTACGAATTACAGTCGAAAACCAAAAATTGGAAATGTGAGACTAAGAATAACTGATGCCTTTGTGACGTAGCGGAGGCTCAGACTGCAGTCCAGTAAAGAGAAAAGGTTTAATAGTCTGTAACACCTTTATTGTATCCAGAACCAGGAACAGCTTTCTGCCATCACCAAACTACGACGCAACTGTTGAAACAGGTCATGAAATGAGTTAAAGCCACAAAGAATTTGTGAGATTCTTGCTGTTATTCCTGGTCTCCAGATTCCCGCTTCTTTCACAAAGAAGGATTCATATCCTTTTCCACTGTCATTATCGCCATAGCGGCATGGACTTGATTTTGGAGGGTGTCATGTTCTAACAGGGTGGAGGGAACCCTAACCGCAAACCCCAGATAACCTTATTTCAGGCTGGTTCGTAAACTGGTGCAACTTCAAACTTCGCCAAACATACAGTAACTAGGCTTTAGATTCAAATCCTAGGTTGTCAAATAAGTTTGGACAGAAAACCACCACTATTTTATCCCCCAAAGTAACATTTGACAGGGTAATCTTTACTATAATCACTCTTTACCATAATATAAGACAGGTATATATTACATATATATAATGTAGGTATATTACCCTCCCCTCTCTAAAACGCTATAAAACATTGATGTCTATTTGGATGAGCATCCATTTTTTTCTAATTTTGTTTTCAGAACTGTCTATTCGTTTATACAGCACGTTCAGCAGATTCCTCATCTGTTACATCGCAAGTCCTACTGATTTCAAGATAATCCATGTTGGGATGAGTGACATACGCTCCTGGTCTTCTCCATGCATTGAAATAGAGGACAGGAAAGGAAGAGGTGAGGAACATACGCAAAAGTATCAGTGATATTTTGCGTGTACTCTGAAGACACTTAAAAAAACGGTATAGAGCACAAACTTCATTATCAAGGAGTCAACATTTTTTTCTCTAGTATACAACTCTTATTTATCTCCTAGAGCCTTGCTTGTTTTCAGGAGCGTGGTATTGCTCTAGGGATAGATGCAAAAAAGCGTAGACCTGATTTAATTGTTTTTTGCAGCAATCTTTTGTCGGATTGCAGAGTTTGACACAACACTGAGATTTCTGCGCAGCTCCAGGTTTTTTTGTAAACACTTTTGAGCTGATTTGCAGTGATAGACATCTGCATTTCATTCTGTGTTACTTTCACTTGTCCCCAGTAACGTTAACGGTCTCGGCTCTATTAAATCCATAATATTAAAGTGATTGTTACATATAGGTCCCTTTTTATCCCCTTTTCCTCAGCGCAATTCTGCAGAAAAGAAGCTGATGTCATTTATCCCCACAGTGTCCTCCCAGCTCAGGAGTTCCCGAATGCAAACGACGGTTATTCATGTATTCATATATCTTCTAGCTAGAGTTGTTGCATTTTGCAAGAAAGAATAAGGTAACATATGCCAGCTCTTTGTCACCCTCTCGTCCCAGGAGTTTTTCCTCCACAGCAAGCGCAGAGGCCTCACCTCTGCATCCGAATCCTTACCTAAAAGGCTACAGGAATCTTAGTAACCAGAAGACATTGAGCTACTGAAATATTTCTATAAAACATCTTTAGGTAATGGTGAAATCATCTGAAAGAAACATGAAACAAGGGAGGAATGCTGCCCTCCTTTCTCTCTGGCGTAGACGACATGCATTTTACCTGTCCAGCTGAAGCCAAGATGATCGGCAATGTGGGCCAGTCTTTCCTCTGTCCTTTCCTGATCATCCTGTTGATCTAAAGGTCAAAGAGAGCCACAAGTTGCCTTTTACAAGTTAAAAACCGTTTTCGTAGGTGATATAGCCCAAGAAGGGAAAGCGCTTTTTCTTTTTTTCTACCTGCTGTAATCTAAATGTGGCTGCTACAACTGGGTGACTAAAGGGAGGACTGTAAATCCCCAGGTTAAAAAAAACCCAAACAACAAAAAGCTTGATTTTTCAAAAAGCACAGGACTACAGGACTGTCTACATTTTCTATTTGAAAATCAGGCTTTCGTGAGAAAATCTAAAGGAGGACTGAAGTGCCTACTGTGCCTATTTTGGCCAAGCGGTTTATTCTAAAACGTCATTCTATCATTAAATTGAAGACTTTAACTAAGTCAAGAGCCATAATTTTCCATGCCTCCTTAGTAAATGCCAACGTTGAAAAACTCATCTGGACTGGTGCTTCTAATTTTGTTCTTTCTGTTGTAGTGAAAGTTTTGTTCCAACAGTCCATATGGCACTTCGTATTATGGTTTGTATTTGAGATATTGTTAATTTAAGTGTCTTTGACCCTTTTAACGGAGCGATACGAAATACTGAGAATGAAGGCAAGGAAAAAATCAGATGTTCATCCGCCAGCCTTCAGTTATTTCTGTAACGGCGAGACTGACTGTTCCTCCCATCCCCAAAGCTAACTTGAGGATGGCAGAATTTGAGTTTTGATTTTCCCTGAATGCACACACGGATTGCGATATCTCAGATTTAGAAACTTGCTTAGGGTTAACGATATAGGCATGTTTCATTTTAGCTAATGGCTTTCCATCACGGCTACTCAGGAATAGGACAGAAGTAGGCGAGAGGAAAACCAAACACCAGAAAACTTGTACTAAAGTTACTGGTGACACAGAATTTTCTTGAGACACGGATCGTCAAAAGAAAAAAAAGGAACATGAAAAACTTAATTGTTGAAAACTTCTGCAGATTTCTTTGTGTAAGAGCTCAAAAGAAAATGAAGTTGCCTGTCGCAGTTTCAAGCAACGCCCAAATATTTCATTATTAGTAAAAATCAATAGTTAAGAATAGGGCCAGGGAAAGCCAAAAGCCAAAATGTGCATGACCTGAGCAATCAGTTTAATGGCAAAACAATACCTATTTTTAGAAGTGTTATTTTTTGTTAAGGTAACACTTCCTATAAGGGTTCATGGTTTGCAATCTTGAGATTGTTTCACAGACAAGAAAAATACAAACACAACACAAAAACACAAACACAGCTCACATGGGAAAAAAAAAAAAAAAAAAAAAAAACCAACACAGCTAACCACCAAAAGCTTAAAAGAAAAGGGCACACAGATTCCACGTGTATACAAACATACATACACGCGCACACACACCCCAAAGGAAACAGAAAACCAAAAAGTTTAATTCATGACATGCGTCGCACAGGGAATCCCAGTCGTTGGCAAATACCTTCAGCATGGTCATGGACATTTTCATCAGGGATACGTTCAATCTGAGTCTCTACAGACTCATCCCAAATGGGTCTGGTGTCAAAGATGTCTTCAGGAACTGACTGCTGGGTAAGAAAAGGGCACACAGATTCCACGTGTATACAAACATACATACACGCGCACACACACCCCAAAGGAAACAGAAAACCAAAAAGTTTAATTCATGACATGCGTCGCACAGGGAATCCCAGTCGTTGGCAAATACCTTCAGCATGGTCATGGACATTTTCATCAGGGATACGTTCAATCTGAGTCTCTACAGACTCATCCCAAATGGGTCTGGTGTCAAAGATGTCTTCAGGAACTGACTGCTGGGTCTCACTGGATGGCACATTTTCAATAACTGAAACTTCTAGGGCGCTACTGCTTTCATCATCTGAAACTAATTCTTGTTCTCTCTCTGACTGCGTGAGTCTTTCCACTAATTTAGAAGCTTCATCACTAATTTCTTCAAAGAATTCTATGGAGTTTTTGTAAAGGTCAAAGAACTGTTCCTTACTTTCTTTTGTGGGACTAAAAGCACTGCGGGAGGCTGTAGTGCTTCTGCTTTTAACTGGCAGCCGTGATGAAAATACCTTGGATCTTGCTGCTGTTGCCTCATCTGAGTCTAGCTCAAACTTCATCTCTCTCTCCCTCTCCCTGGTCTCTGCTTCTGCCTCAGCATAACTCCTAGCTTTTACTGAACGTTTAGTCTTTGGGTCCACGGGACTACTCGCATCGGATTCAGATTTACTTCGGTTATCTTGTTTCGTAGGTAGTTTGCTTGTCACGTCGAGAGCTTTGGGTGACTCTAGCTTGCGGACAGATGTGTCTGTGTACGAATACTGTTGTTCAGCTTTTTGGAAAGCTGCTTTGATGGGAATTTTAGACTTTGGTTTTGCTTGGTCGTCTTTTCCTTCACACTGCAAACCGTCTAGGAAGTCGTCTGCGGGAAGGCTCTCATTTTCCGATTGTTGCAAGGGCTGCGATGCAGCAGCGGCTGTTCTTACAGGAATTTTGGATTTGCTTTCACAAGAAGGCACTCTCTCCATTAGAGCAGTAGGGATTTCAATCACAGATCTCTGTTCCTCTGGTGAAGAGTCTGGGGACTCATCACCCTGTTCAGAACAAACCGATCTAGTGACTTTGGAAAAATCTACTTCATCTTCTCCTACAGACTGCTCAGGAGAGATAGGGCAAGGCACCTGGCTGCTGTCAACCACGTCAGTCTCCATTCCGGAGAGGGGCTCAGCTTCAGAGGCAGCAGTTTCTTTCTTTGGTGATTTCGAGGAAGCTGAAATACCCATTTTAATCGGAATTCGGGATTTAAGATCTGCTTTTGTGGTGCCTACGCTGACACCTTCACCCGTCATTTCTTCTGATTTATCACTAGACTCAGATGCTGGGGGTGAACATTTCAATGTATCTTTTTCTTGTATACCCGAGTCCTCTGACTCTGAAGGGGAAAATGGATCCGGTGAGCTCTTCAGCTTAGAAGATTCCGCCTCTGCTGCTTCTTTCACTTCTTCAGATAAAGAAACTTCTTCCTGAGGCTGCTGCCCCACTTGGAAGAAGTGAAAGCTTTCATCTGGATAGCTCCTTTTGGTCATGTCAATGGCTCCACTCCTAGTCATTTCAAACAACTTTCCTTCCTGAAAAAGAAAAGGATTTTGTTCACTAAGTGGTGTCCCTTCTTCGGTGGGTGTTCTGGCCGGCGTTGTATCAGGTGTGGTCCCTTGTGATCGCCTGTCTACCATCAACCCAAATATCTTTTGTTCCTCTTCTTTCACCCGAGCTTCAAAAGCTTCATCATCTTCACGGATTTCACTCCACATATCAGAATCCACATCAGTTTTAGTGATGACAACTTGACTGATCAAGTTCTCCGTTTCATCTGTCACGTCCTCAAGGGGAGATTCAGCTAATTTTGTGGAATCTGATGCTGAAGACCCTTGTGACGTTTTCTGAAATGCATCCTCTGGTTTTGGCTCTATTTCCATGTATACTTCCTCTGATGAGTGATATTCACTACCTGTGTCTCTGCCAAGTAAAGCTCCACCAGTCTGAGCTTTTCCTTCTCCAATGGAATATTTTTCCCTAGACAGCAGACTTCTACCAGATCCTACCTCGCTGTCAGAGTCAGTAAAGAAATGGTCAGAAGATACATTTTCGTACGGGCTTACTATATAAGGAGCACTACTCTCAGCAGCATCTGCTACACAACTTTCAAGCGCCACTGTTTCAGTGGTAAGGGATGAATACTCTGGTAAGGGTTCCTCAGCACGGGTATCTCTTTGAGATGTTTCACAATCTGTATCTGCTTTTCCCAAATCCCTTCCCAAAGCAGAACGGTCAGTGGTATCATCTTCAGCCACTTCACCATCTTGTGGTACAGAGTACTCAGTGGTACTGCGTCCACAAGAACTACCATCTATTTTCTCAGACACAGTGCCTGTAGAAACGAGATCTGTGTGCGTTAACACCACAGCGGTTTTGACATCTTTTTCGTGTTGCGGTAGTGTTAGCGAAGACTCAACATGAACTTCTTTTTGAGAACTGTCACCAAGGGAATGACACGGGGTACCCCCGCATTGTGTGACCGGGGCATTGGGACTAACCGTCTCACTGCCATCTCTACTGCCACATTTTGAGGCATCAGCTTCTGGTGACGCACAACCGTCAGAATGACAAGTGCCTGATTCTCTTGTGGAAGCCTTACAGCTGCCCCCAGGGATAAGTGGTTCCTCTTTGTCATCTGCTGTTGGCTTCTCCTGTTCTGTTTCAACTGCACCTATCCTGACAGGGCATTGTTTCGAATCAATGGGTTGAAAACCTGCTTCGTGGGGGCTACAACGGGAGCCAATACTGGATGGTAACGGTGAGGGTGGCTGCACTCGGATCACAGGCTCCATTAAGAGGCCTGAGTCGGCTTCTTTTTTCAGCTGAGTCAATTCTGGCTCGCTTTCTGAAGAGGAAGATCTTTTTCTAGATTCAGCTGCAGACATCACCACCGTAGGTGTATCTTTTGACTCTGGATCTTCAGCTTCACATGCAGCTTCTGAATCAGCAGCTACTGGAGATTCGTCTTGCTTACAATCCTTTTTGTAATCCCTCTTCTGCTTTGCTTCTTGTTCTAATTCATCAAACATTTTGATTTTGGTCACCATTTTAAACATCTCCTCTTCAGGGGTGAACCTCTTCCTTGGTTCACTTTCGCAATCATCCTCTGGTTCTTCGTTGACTTCAGGGATCACGGCCGACTTCGGTATGTTTGACAGAACCTGAGAGTCTGCTGTTTTAGGTGTGATTTCATAGCTAATTTCTTCAGAACTAGGAGTTTCAGGTGAAAGGGGACTTTTCCCTGAACTCTCCATGAGGGACGTTTGCTCTAGACTGTCATCATCAGCACTTCCCTCAGGGTCACGGAGAATCCTGGAACGCACCGATGCCAGCTCTGGGCAGGTTTCTCCTTTGCTAAGGACAGACTGAAGAGGACCCTGCCCCAAAATACCAGCCTTCACTGTTTGTTCTACAGGGCTACTTTCAAGGGAATCACGGCAGGGAGACTCTTTCATAGGACTGGGCTCCAAAGAATCAGGCGTTTTGTGTGATGAGTTATCTTCTAGTACTGGGCTTGCTTCCAGTGAGTCTTTATGACTTATAGCCAAAGAGTCATCTGCAACTGGGCTAAAGCTTTCACTATCATGGCTAGCAAGTGACAGTTCCAATTTCTGGGGACTTCTAACCACAACACAGCGTTCACAGGTTATATCTTTTTCTTGCTCTAAAGCAGTGTCATGTGTTTCAGAAGACTTAGTTAAGTGTGCAGTGGTTCTGGATTCTTTATCCTTGCTAATATCTTTCATAATGGAAGCTGAGCTACTTTCTTTAAGTTTATCAGCCTCTTCTTCAGAGGCTGTAGGTACAAGCTCTTCTGATACATGGTCAGAACGAGACTTACTAGTCTCAGTAACAGCATCTAGCTGTCTTTCAGTAATACCTTTTTCATCTTCCTTTGGAGAATGTTCCTTTGGAGAACATGTTTCTGCTGTTGTGTGTGCTCTAGCTGCTCCTTTAGCTTCTTCATTTTGCCCATCAGTTTTCTTTGGTGAGAATGAAAGGCTTTCAGGGCTTGTTTCTGGAGTCTCTGCCAGACCCTCATGCTTATAACTTTCCTCAGAGCTGATCTGAGGGGTTCCGTCAAGCAGACTACCTGGAGAATCAGCCACGCCTTCGTGTTTAAGGCTCTCTGAGCTCCCATCAAAAGCAGCACTTTGCAGAGAAAGAGCAGGAAGGAATCCATCTTTCACATACTCTGTGGGAAAAGCAACACTGAAAGGACTGGTCAGGACTTGCTCCAAGTTAAGCTCTCCCTCCTCTGTCACCGAAAGGTGTCGGAACTGTTGGTATTTGTCATTATCCTCCAGTTCTTCTTTAATGACGTCAGAAAAATCTGTTGAGGTTTTCCTGTCAGGGCTGATCTGGAAGTCAGTATCTCCCTGGTCATCAGAAGCCCTGCCCTTCACAACCGCTGTATCTTTGGCACTGTCCTCAACAAATACCGGAGGGAGAGGTTCGGTTGGTTTTTTGCTGCTCTGCTCTTTTACCTGGTCTTTACCTACAGCTTTCTTGGTAATTTCGACAGCAGAAACTTGCGTTTTTCCTTTTTTTGATTGTGGCTCTTTCTCTGCTTTTACTGTTGTGCTTTGTTTGTCCTTCTGTTTCTCTGTCTTGTGGCTTGATACTCGCCTCGTTTCACTTTGTGAAGAAATCGTTTTTCTCCGGGTTGTTTCCTTCTCAGGGAGCTGCTGCTTCTGTTTGACCGATTTGTGCTCAAACAGTCCAGATATATTCTTGGATGGGTCTTGACCCGACTGGAAGGCTTTCATCAGTTCACGAACTGACATGGTCTCTTCAAGTCTTTCTGTCTTAGAAGAAGGTGAAACAGGGGGTTGTGCTTTGTGCGCCACCGTTTTTTTGACTTGCACCGGTTTTTTAGAAGCCTTTTCAGCAGTGCCTTCTCTTGTTTGAATTCTGACAGGTAGTTTTGACCGTATTTTTTGTTCATCTTCCACTCGTTTCTGCAGAGCTTTAACTTTATCTTTTATTGAGCCAATAGGAGTTTCCTCTATGACAGGGGATACAGCTTTAGCCTCAGGAGCAGCTGTCAGCGTTAAGCCAGGTTCCTCACCTCGAGATTCAACTGGAGTGACCTTCTTTAGTCCTGGTCGTTCTTCGCTGCTGTGCGTCTTACCTTCCTTTTGCTTTTGCTTGTCTCTTAATTTTGTCCTAACTGGCTTTTTAATTTCTAAGGCTGGCTTGTGTTGTTCCTGTGGACTTTGTGTTTCAGTAGTTGGGGATTCTTGTCCTTTTTCAGAATCCCTGCTTATTACTACAGCTTCAAATCTCTCTTCTACTAAGTCTTCTTGTAAGGCTTGTGGCTGTACCTCATGAAGCGAAACGTATGTTTTTAAATCCTCTGTAAGGTAATCTACCATTCCTGTCATGTCTGGCTTCTCTGTTTTTGTTGTCCCTTTGTCTACCCTGACTTCTACACAGGTAGGTTCAGTGACTTCTGAAGGAGCGTTTCTTCTGGCCTCTTCAATTTCTTCATCACTGACAATGATCCATTCTTCTTCTACAAGTTCTTCTTTGGAAAGAGACTTCTGCACGACATGTTCTTCTCTGGTATAGGATCCACCTCTCAGAATTTCATTTACTTTTTCTAAGTCTTCTTTCACTCTTTCAACTATTTCAAAAGGCTCTCCTGGCTCTTCTTCAGTGGGTTTTCCAAGATCTTTCACTTTAATGGAGCCTGATTTATCAGAAGGGTCAGTTGTCAAGATGGCAGTCATCTTGATCAAATCTTGTTTCATCTCAGAAACTTCAGACAACAGGTCTGGACTGGCTAGTACAGGGACTTCATTAACCAGATGGCTTTTCAGGATAGAAGTTTCTGTAGATTCTGTCTCGTCATCTTTGATGCGAATGAAAAACATTGAAAGTAAAATGGAAATCAAAAATAGAGATTGGAAAATGTAATCAGGACTGAAAATGACAGTCTTTGGTTGCAGTGGTAGGAAGGTCAACAAAATGGGCCAGGAATGGTGGATCCACAAGATCTGAGGGTACAAAAGCAAAGCAAAGCTAACAAGGGGGAAGGGGGGGGAGAACTGAAAAGGAAAATGGCAGGAAATAACTTGCTTGACTGCATCAATATAGCACAACCACACATACATTATCAAAGCTGTAACAAACCAAATCAGGACACCACTAAAAAAAAACCAACCCAAAACAACAACAACATAATCCAAAATTAAAAACAGAAGAAACACAGTGAAGTTACACAAAGATAGGCATCTCAAGATTGTTCAGATGTTACAGATCAATGTTCAAATAAAAATAAACAAGAAAAAAGGGGGAAAGCATTAGAACTGATTGAAAGTCGATTTCCTCTAAGAGAAAGCCAGTGTTAGCAAACTGTCAGAATAACATCGGGTTAACTTTTTTTTTCTTTTTCTTAATGACCAAAATAAAAAGTTAAAAAGTAATTCTGCAGTAATCTAAAATATGATCCAATATGTAGAGATCTGAATCAGCTGCAAACCGGCATTTCGTCTAAGGGGATTTCACACCTAAACAATGAAACAAACATTCTTTTGTTTTAAGAGGCATGGTCCTTTCCTTGGAACATCCTCATTGACAACTAATGAATTGACTGAGGAAAGAGAAGACAGAGAAGAAAAGGAGAGATAATAAGAAAAAACTGTGAATCAACTTAGAAGTGATTTCAAAGTTTTAAAAAATGTCATGTATGGCAACCGAAAATCAGAGACAGTCACACTAGACACATACGTACAATTCATGTAAGGCAAGTTATTTCCATGCAAAGCAAAGGTGTTGAAATGCTGCTGGGCATGTAGCTTCAGTTAAAAAACAACAGCTCTAAAAATTAATCGTATAAATTAAAGATACATGAAAATATGGTAAAACATACTGTGGCGAAATATTTGTCTAATCTGTGCAATCGATATACAGCAAGTTGGATGTAGGTAATTCCCATGATGCCATAACTGCCTGCTGGGAATTCTTAATTTCAGGAAGGACTACTAGAAAATGTATCTTGAACAGAACGAAATATTGAACGACTGAAGCAAGTCATGAACAGAATGCAAGGCTTAGAAATGATAATCGTACATTTTTCTGAAAATTCCTGAAATTTCAGTGGAACTGAAATTCCACTCTGCCGGCTATGCTATGGTGTGTCTTTTCCACCTTGGTGAAATTGGTTGTCCTTGTGTAAATAATAATAAGAGCAAAAATCTAATACTAATAATGTTATTAATCGTGGTGAATACCATTTCCCACCACTTTATTAGCTATTTTGTCACCCTGATGTCTTTTGTTCTCCATATGAAGCATTTCTGCTTTAGGTAAAGGAGGTTACAGGGAAATGATCATCCATTTGACCTTCAGGATCACGGTGCCGTTGTCTTTCCAATTAAAACATGTAGGTAGGACATCAAGAATAAATAACCCTCCAAATGCAATGTAGAAAAAAGGGCAAGACATTGCACTTTGAACTGGAAACAAGACAGACGTCGTTCTTTTGCAAAACAGGTTTAAGAAATCACTGCATTTGAAAACAGCTCTCAGTAGAGATACTCTTCAGACTGAATATACGTTTGTTTGATTTGCATCTTCATTAAAGGAGATCTTGGGCGTTGTGAGCCACTCACCCTCAGTTTCTAATACTAATGGCCCGATTCTGTGTATACAAAGGGTGTATATGCTGTACCAAGCTTAACAATCCTATTTCCAGTCATATTTCACCACAGTAAAGGGCGGGGGGGAGGGAAAAGGGTTAAACAGCCTGATTACTTTGGACAGTATCACTTTTTTGCATGGTCATAGTTCATGAGTTTAATGAAACATACTGGAGCATTAATTACGTTTTCATTAAAAGTGATACTGTCATTTATCTCAAATATGAGGCAACAGTGTGTGTCAACAAATGGACAAAACAAAAAAAAATGGAGGGACGAGCATTCATACAAGCAAAATAGCAATAGCGGGATCACTAGGGATGTCAAAGGAAAGTAAATGCTTAGATGAACCGTTTTAAACTGTATTATTTGTTAATTTATACATTAAGACGTATTTAACTGGATAGCTGCTTTAGTATTAAGTTGTTTTCTATTACGTTTTTAAAGTATTGATGTTATTAGCAATAGCAGTTAAAGCTTAGCTCTCTTTCATGCTTATCTTTATTCTTAACCATCTTTCATACAAACTACATTATAACATTTTCAAAAAAAAAGAGAAAATCTTACTTTTTTCTGAAGTCATATCAATCTGGAAGAGAAAAAAGGAGGAAATTTTTAAAAGTTGATACATACAAAGTCACTAGTGAAGTAGTACTGGTTGAGTCAAATCCACTAGATGTATGGAGACACACGGATTCATTGACTTAAATGAACCAAGAATGTATTTACAATAATGGTAAAAGCATGGCTTAATTGATTTAGTGTTTCTAACGACAGAAAAATGGTTACTCTGCTTTGGTTATGGTCAAGAGCAGATGCAAAATGTTGCAATGTATTTTCTTTAAATGTGACTAGCAGTATAGAGGACCCAGCCTTTTGTATCACTGAGTATGTTGCTGCATTGCTCTTAATTTATTTCTCCCCGTCTAAAGCGAAAAAGTCCACTATGGTCACCTGAAGGCATATGTCCCATCTAGAAGGCAACCAGTATTGCTTTATACGTAGCTTCATTGTACATATTCATTCTGAGATGACATTTTGCATTTTTGCCTCTGTACTTTGTGATGATGAAAAGCAGGCGCAGAAATGACTGCAGACCTGCTCCTGCCGACGCCAAGAGCTACGACTCGATGGCACTGACACGGCTGATACCTCTCAAGGGACGCAGTGATGGCCCTCAGAGGCCATCTTTTTGATTTTTCAGAGGGTATGTGGGTAGAAATTGAAAAGGCCACAGAATTTGACCGTTACTCAAAAGAAAACATAGCCCTTGCCAAAAAAACCCCCCATTTTTTAAAAAGATGCAATGTCGGGCTATGAAAATTCAAAAAGCCAATTTTTGAGGTTACTTTGTAGTTTGACTTTTTTTCAGTTGTGCTAGCACAATCCTTTGTCCACACAAGCAAAAAAAAGATTTTTGCTCTGTAAATGTGGATATGCAAACGCACGCAAAGTTAGAAGTAGCACTAAACATTTCATTTCCTATACAAACTTGTGGTGGTAGGATGACTGTGAGGAATGAAAATCAGCGATGCAGTACTGTTGATACGATATACCGTGCGTGTTAAAGCCCCCAAGGCAGTTTTTTAGTGAGTGTAGCAAAGGTTTTACTTGCTTAAAAGTAGTCTTTAAAAAGATAAATGCAATATATTGCCTCAGTTAAGATGTTACTAATTCTTGCTTCTCCATAAACTGAAAATGAATACAAGTAAATCACTGGCAACACTCGCCTTGCAATCATTTAGGCTCAGATTATTAATTATTATTACAGATCCATAACAGTATGAATTCTTTTGATGCACAGATGGCCCGACGTGGTAACCTAGGATCCTTTAATTCCCCTTACTTTAAGTTCCTCCAAATCAGTCTGGAATTCTGTCAGCATACTAATTAATATCATTAACATAAAAAAAATGAAGTAAACAAAACAATAATTTAAAATGGAAGGTGTTTTTAGCCATCGATGAACTTGTCTTTTTGTGCTTTAGTTTCTTATATAAAAATATAAGAAGTCATCAATGTTTGGAAAAATAGTTTTGCCGTATCTTTTACACTGCTTTTACAGAGCATAGATTTGCTAAAAACAACTTTTGGGCACTTCACTGGCAATGCACAAACACCATTAGAGAGGCTGAAAGAATTAGTTTCATACTTTTGGTACAAAATCGAATGATCACCTGAGAAGAAACGTTACCCGCTGAATAAATATAGTGGGAATTAGCTCAGAAACTTTGGCCGTGTTTTCACTTGACAGTGCCTGTATTTCAGCACTGAAATAGTAAATATTTCTGTAATTAGAATAGGAAACCGCAATCCATGCAACCAAACTTCTGAACTCTGTTTGGCAGTTCATGGAAAAGATGTCCATGGTCTTTGGGGAGCGGGCTATTGTCACAGTGCTGGCACTCTTCTTTGTTTCCAACAGCTGAATGTCATCAAAATGAAGGGATGCTTTTCTAATGTTACTCATTTATGTAGGGGTCAGACCTTGAGAACCATCTATAATAGCCAGAACGGGGATGGGAATGTGGGATGCTTCTCAGAATCAGAAAAACCAATCCCATTTCCCCTTTTCTTGTGCTGCAGAGAATAAAGCTTAAAGAAATACACTTGTATGGCTTATTCTTGAGCAAAGTAATTTTTAAATTATTAAGGAACTGTTTTGAAAGCAAAAGGAACTATTCTACACCTCCAAAATCAGTGCATCTGAATCAGTAAAACTTAAATTTTGACATAGGGAAGGTTCAAATCGGTAAATTCCAAAAGTGCGCCTTCTGCAAGATCCTTTTAAGTGCGCTCCTCCTTCACTGGTTTTGTAGCGCAGCTCTAATGATTGACATGCCTGATTCACTACAGATTTAATCGTCTATGTGTTGTATTTTAGTAGTACGCATAAGCAACAACATGCTGTTATAGCAACATTACCTCTTCTTCTTGTTCTTGATCTGATTCTGATTCCTTTCAGTTCCAAAATGCCATGCAAAAAGAGAAGGGGAAAACAGAGCAGGCAAAATGCAAATTTTTTTTTAGAAGAAGAGAGTAGGAAAAAAATAACTTCTGACAACATTTAACAGAAAAGAAGAAAATGGAGTACGTTTCTGCAATTGATGTCTTACGTCAAAAAGCGGCAAAACTAAACTGGCAGTTTAAAACACAAAAGGTTACAGAGTCAAGCAAATTACAAACAGAAGAGCTGCTTCTGGGTGTTAGACTTCTAGTGATCCTTATTTGTACCAAAACTTAAAATATATACATGCTTTTGCACCCAGAAGTTAGCGCGAATAAACACTTGAAATAGTTAAGAACGTTACCCATTTGAAGTTGAAAATATGTCGAGATGTATTATTTTCAAATTCTACAAAAACGCTACAATAAAGATTATATTATATGCTAAAAATGTTGAGAAAAAATGAAGACCAAAAGGCATGATTTTGAGCAAACAGCCTAAGACATTCCTAAAAGGCATGCAGCTTCTAATCTGACACGGACAGTAAAAAACCCGAGTTATCACCGAATAGCAATAAACCGATTCTAAGGAAACAAGTGCTTCTTAATATCTGATCTCACTTAAGCAGAAATCAAGGGTCTGCCCATGACTGATGAGAATTCAGCTGGTCTCAATCTTGTTATTTATAAATACTAACTCGTGCTAGAGTTTTCCTCTCCTTTTTCTGCCCTTGGTATCGGACCTTTTTCTTCCCCAGGTACATTAATAAATGTTATAACAATATTCTGAAGAAAGACCGTTTACACGGTGTGACGTATTCACAGGTTCTTGAAAGATTTGATCAGGTGCAGGAAGAAAACTCAGCGCCAGAAGTCAATGTAAGATTAACATCTAGTCTACAAAAATCTTTTCGGCGCTGCTATAAACTTTCCAAATTCTAGAGCTCAAGTCTGCTATGTTTTTATCACAGTTAAACAAAGCAGTTAGCTAAAAAATGCTATTGCAAAGCCCATGAACTTTCAAATTGGCAAATGAAAAAAATAACAAGTAATTATCAGTCCTCCTGTACTTCGCACCTTGAGAACATCGTATGACCTACAGACATTATCCTTAGGCTTTGTGAAACAGGTATGGATGGTAACTTCACCTCCAGAGAGGTGTCACAAGACACGGTTAGACAGCGGGGGAAGTCTTTGGCAAAACAAAAAATGAACCTAGAGGTATTCACGGAGTCCCAGATCTGTCTCACCCCTGAACAGAAGCAGGGGAAACTTTCTGTATGAAATAAGATTAGCGTAGGTCTTGCGCAAGACCAAATGAAACCATGGATGCTATCGTAGCGCAAATTGGATTTTCCTCTCCCTTCTGTCATCTCTTCCCAGTTCTCAGAAAATATTCCAGAACATCTTTGAACGCCGGCGTAAAGAGCACCCACCCCCAGAAACTGAAAGCCCTTGAGTGATATTTACTCTTCTTTAATTCACCTGACTCCAAAGCTTTAACACTATTTTTCCCTTCTACTAATTTCTTGTTTATATTACAATGCTGATGGCTGTAGATCAGTATCATTCCACAGTACCTTTGTGTAAACGGGTAAAGTGATGTTTAAATTACATATGGCTTGATGAACGAGGCCTCTCGTCGATTTTGGCTCCTTCATGAACGATAATCGTCCACAGGGTTCTTGAGTAGTATCTCGCACCTGGTGGAGCAAACGTACAGACATTTCATCTCTTATTTTGCCGCATGTACTTCTGCCACTCAAAACTATTTAGCAGAATGAGGTGAGACGTGGGAGAAGAAGTCAACGTAGGCAAAAATAACATTTTCTCTTTTTTCCCCCCTGTTTGTTTGTAAATGTACATACAACTTGTGTGTCAAAGCAAGAGAAGGCACAAGCATGCACATGCTTAGACATTAGAAACTTATTTACAGAAGGCAGTCCTCACACTGTAAACACAGTCTTAAAAGAACAGAGACATTCCAGTACGATTTGGCTTCTGCGATAGCTTACAATACCCATTTTTCACCGAAATGGTCCCCAAACTTAATGGTCATAATAGAGACTCATTTTGTATTAGGCGACAAAAGGAACTAAGTAATTTTCCCCCGTGTGGCAAGAATACGTATTTATGCTGATGTCAGCAAGAACTCTTTGCTCAAAATTCCAGTATTAAATATTCAGTTTGTTCATTCCGCTACTCTTTTGGCTGAGTGACTGAAAACAGTGAAAGATTACACTTAAAACAACTTTTCTTGCAAAATGTTGTCTCAAATGTATTGAAAGATCCTAGTCTTAGAATGAAGAGATTTGCTGGAATATATTTATAGGTGTGGCAATCATTATCTACAAAAGATACCGCATCATGCCATACTTTAAGCTTTTGCAGTGAATCTTAGAAAAATCTCTTTGTTAGCAGAAACAAGTGGGAGTGCGATAAAACCCCAAAATATTGCTGGGAGAGAGTTTAAATGTTGTGTAGCAGCATACAGCCAATTTAATACAGTGAGGGAGTGGGATGATTTTCTTCACTTTTTGCAAGTTTCCATTCATAAAGCATTTCTCTAAAATGTATGTGTGTCCTTCCTTTTTCCTTTTTTTCACAAAAATACAGTAAACCCATAACCTGAAATATCCAAAAAGGAGCCATGCTTTCCTTACTGTACCCCCAAGGAACTTTTGCGTTGCTGCTGAAGGGAGGATGACTGGTTGAAGAACAGCTATATCTGTATTTACAGCCATATGCATATTTACAAGTCTAGGGTACAACGATCACATTTTGATAGATTTCTGCCAATTCTACAATGTTTTCTGACACTTTTTTTGCAGTTTCCACATTTTTCTCCTGCAATATATTGAACCACGATACAGAAAAAACAAACAGGGTCAAACTCTATCAGCTCTTTAGATTATTAGGTAGAGAACAGGATTCCTGGAATTACCATTTTGGTGTCTGAAAGAATGCGGTGGACACATATGTCTATAGCAGAACACAGGTACAGATAATTATATTTAGAGAAAAAACTCAGGTAAATTTTAGGTAGCCGCTTCTGGTTGTTTTGACTACCCAAGTCACCATTGAATCCATTATCATAAAATAATTTGGAACCACTCTTCCCTCTGCTAAGCTTATTGTAAACTCAGAAGTAGACAACAAATAAAAATACAATCTGTAGCTCATGTTATAACGTTACCTTAACAAACAATGGAAGTCTATTTTCCTTGAAGGCAAAAAAACTGAATATATGATGTTGCCCACTCTTTGTTAGCGGCACCAAATTGCCAAAGCAGTCAACATAGATGGGTTTTCCTTCTAATACCTATTGGAAATGAAAAAGAAGCAAAGCAGCAATTAATCACAGCGAGGTGGTTAGGATTTCTTCTTATGTGCAATTCTACAGTAGTTTCGATCAAGTCAGTAACTAAAAAGTTCAAGTTGTCTCCTGGCAGTTTGCTACAAAGCTAATTAAATCTAAGCAATCACTGTGGATCACTACAGGAATGGCTATGAGGTACCCGGCTTGAACTTAGGGCTCGCCTGCATCCATAGAACTTAATTTTAGGCTAACTGAGGAGAAAGTCCATTTACAACACCTATCCGCCACCTCTCAGCTCACTGCTGAGCGACTTACGTCTTCAGTCTTGTTGTACACCTGAAATTCTTACGAAATATTGCATTTTGTTTAATCTCAAACAGATTTCATAATACTTAGCTGGCAGCAGCTGCTCTAGTTCGGAACGCGAATTAAAGAAATGGTGACTCTGACACACGAGAAAAGCAGGACAACGAACCTGAAACTGCTGGACTAAATGGTAATCCCCAACTTCATTTTATTGCCTGATTTCCTAACATAAAATCAGCTCAGTTTGTAAGTACAACTGTTTAACAGGTCCACCATTAAAAAAAGCATCTTGGGAAACTCCATTCTTTCCGTTCAGTTTTGTCCGAGAGGTTTTCTAAGGCTTAGTCCCATCACAGAGAGCTCAGACTGAACCAGCCCGCTTTACTATCTCCTGGAATCCACCTCAAGGTTCCTGCTACCTATTCGTTTAATTGCTGAGGACTGTCCTGAGAACACACCGGACGTCCCGTTGGAATGTCGATAATGCTATGGAGAAAGCAAAAAAACCATACTACCGAAGTCAGACAGGGAATTCCTTTCTAATTCCTGATAACCAGCTGACTGGATTCCCTTGTGGGTGAAGCACGCAATTACCTTCCACCGTGGTAGGTTGGATCCGGGAAGACCCAAATCCAGGCAGTTGAAAGTAGCTAACCTGCCCACCAGCCTTGTGGACTAAGAGATGGACAATTGTCCACTAGGAATAGGAATTCATCATTAAAATCCGGCAGCTGCTTTCCCCTTACATCTGACGAAAGTCAAAGTTTCCATCTTACCGTGACGCACGATACTGCATCATGACGGTATTTGTTGGCACTATTATTTTTCAGTACTTGTGGCAGATAGAAGGCAGAAAATACTAGCTTAAAAACAGGCGCGAGAAAATGGAGAAAACTCTTTAAGATTCTTCTACAGTACCTCTACGTCCCTGCTTCGGGCAACTTCCGCAAAATTTTCTTGTTGTTCTAGAGTTTTATCCACCTTGTCATCTGTCATGCAAAAACACCTCAACCGTGCTTCGATGGGATCATGCGATTTGGCAAACACCACAAATTTGGCCATGTAGGGGACACAGATAATCTCTCTGTACACTTGGGAAGCAAAAGTAACAGATTCTTGGGTCTGTCGGCAGTCTATCAACCAAAACCTGTAAAACAACATGAAGAGTGGTGCAATCAGCGCAGAAACATTTAAGCAAGAAAATGATATGTTTTCCCATCTTGGCAGCATTAGCTGGTAACCACACCGATGGTATGTGACAAGTCAGAATAAAATAAGAAAAAAATAGTTACCACTTGGGAAGAACAGCCTAAGAACACTCAACGGTACCCTCTGTGCATTTAGGAGCGTGAAGCAAAATCAACAGGGAAAGCATATGGACCAGAACTTACTCTCCTAAATATGAGATGCGAACCCTTCACAGAGTCTCCTGCTCCTCAAATTCCTGGCCACTGTTTGCCTTTCTGATAGGACCTCGCTCAGCTGGAAGCTTATTTGCTTCCAGGTACGTGACTGGCTTTTAAAGGCTTTAACAAGTTCGCTTGTCCTGCGGCAGAGAGTCTCACACACCTTCTCTGAACGTTTAAATATATGACCTTTACATGGTTTTGTGTTTATGAACTATCTATATGACATTTATAAGGATGTTTATAATATTGAAACAATTATTGATGGCTTACCAAAGTCAAGAAATTCTGGAAATACATCACAGTATCCAACACGAGTTTTTTCTTCTATTCAAAAGTGAGCCTAAAATTTGTTTTCATCTGAAGTGATTCCTTGCAGTGAGAATATGTGATCCAACGTCTCCTGCCTTTTATCAAGAAATAAATCTCTTCTAGAATAAGCTCAGTGGTCTCTGTTTTCCGTCACTGTTGACAGTTTTCGATGACGTTTGAAATGGTGACTGATCTTATCACCATTCTTCTACAGCTGCCCAAAAGGTCTCTGAATTTGGTCTTGTTTATAACGTGGTCTTATCACATGTCATGATTTGATTTCTACGCAGAATATAAGTAGAGAAGGGTGTACTGGCAGTGTACAGTTCAGATTTCCCCTGAACTCTGCAATGTGCCTTTCATCTAGAGAAATACAGCTTCTTTTTGACACCTGGTTGCTGCTAAACATCTGATGACGCAGAAAAGAGTAATGTCCCTTACAAATCTTACTAAAATTGCTTGTCATAGGCCGAGCCTGTTGCTTCTCTTCCAGGTTATGACTAAATTGTTAAACAACAGAGTGGGCAATTTCATCCTTTTCTCTTTAGCCCCCTGAAATCTTCCCAGGCGTTGTACAGTTCCCTGTTTGTTAAGCGCTGGACACACCAGTATACCACGCTTGGGTGTTGGTGGACCGTCTACAAACTTCTGACGAGACAGGGATGCGGGGACAGTTTCCTGAATCTTCTTGATGAGGAACAGGAGACTGCAACGGCTTTTGGCATGTGTTGCTTATTCTTCACTCTGTTCTTGGACCTCCATCTCTAATGGGTGTAACATAAAGCTGTCGTGCCCCAAACACTTGTTTTTCTTCTAGCACCTAGCTTAAAGGGTAGCAGCACATTCCTTACATACGACATCAAAACCTGCGAGTCTTCAGGTGAATCTAAATGATTTTGTCCGCTGTGTAATGGACATAATTCTTATGTGAATTTAGTCAGGGACTTTCAACTTTGATTTAGTGGTAACTTGTCCCGGTTTGAGGTGGGAAAGAGCATTTGTCATTCGTGTCAGCGGCCAGTCCGGCCCAAACCACGACAAAAGTTTTTGTTATGCATATTGAAGACCAGTGATATATCTATTTCCATATCTGAGCCATTTTATATTTTAAAGACACTGAAAGCAGATGCGTCCACATCCGATTCCTACTACCTTTGCTTCCCAGAGCCTGCGATCACCGCTGACTCACTTTTCAGCGTGGCTTCCAACGGGCCAACGTTTTACTGCCAGCACCTTTCTAATGCACACGCTGAATTTTCCTTCCACACCAGTGGTTCCCAGCCTGTGACACATGTCCCACCAGTCAAACACCAACATGTTCAAAGCAACAGGCAAATACTACCGGAATAAATTACTTCCTCTGCAGGGTGTGATGCCAGGAGCTGCCACTGCTGTCTCATTCAGGTACCACCACGACAGGGAAATACTTTAGGGGTTAGGTTATAAATTGTCTGATTTCACTAACATCATTATTACAAATGAATGTCTGCCTCTTACCAAGTATCGCTAATGCATGCGAATTGGAACAAACCACCTCAAAACTTATCAAACGTGCACGGTTACTCAAGACATGCCATGGATGTTGCAACTCGGGTCTAGAACTTCAGCTTCCAGACCAGGTCCTCTTGTGTCAAAAACGACCCTCCTCTTTACTGAAAACTACAGGTTCTTTCCCCTTTTCTTTGAGCCATTCAGGCCGGGACAACATTGCCCGGTAATAAAAATTTACAGAATTTCCGTATACCTTTGTCAAGACAACTGAATTGTTATTTTGCAAAGACAACAGCTTTCACTTGAAATAATTTCACTTCTACTCCTAAAATTCCACAGCAGAAACGCACCAAGCATTTTACAAGGAGTAACACGTATCGCCTTCTTTCTCAGATACGGCTTCATTTAGTTTCTCTGTGGAGCCTGATGACATTTCTTTTTAATAAAATTCAGGATGTGGGTGGAAAGCATGCTCGAGTTTGACACCCGTGGGATGGAGACAGAAGTCACAAGAGGTCAAAGACACCTCAAAAGCTGATATAACCTACAGGGGGCTTATTACTTACTGTAGATTACACGGTATTATAACTCACAAAGCATACCTTTCAAGTGTGATTTCTCTGGTCTTACTCATCCGCAGTTGAATAATAGCGAATTTCACGCTGTGCTTATCTTTAGAACATTTAACAAACACGCTGGTTAAAAAACAGGCTGATGACATTTGGAAGAAAGCGTGTTTGGTACATAAAGGCTCCGCATACCCATACTTTCCTTCCCACGTGCGGGAGAATTATGCTATGCTGGACTCAAACGGGAGCGACTACATCCTCTGAGAAACCACCATATGCTCAAATGATTTGCGGTCATACCCCAGGGGCTAAAAAGCGCACACAGATACTACATTTTTAAAAAAGCTGCAGCTCAGGAAACGGAAAACAGCCATGCCTCCAAATCTGCAGCTTCATTCACATGTAATTTAGACAAACGCATCTCTTTCCCAAGCTCATTTTGGACGGAATTAGCCTTATGAACGGGAAAACTGTTCAGAACTGTTCCATCTCTCCTCGCCCGGAGAGATGATGTAGGAATAATAATAATAATAATAATAATAATAATAATAACAACAACAACAACAACTATAATAGTGTAATAAATACAATAATTGAAATTTATAAAAATTATTATTATTATAATATTATATTATTATATGAATCCGTCATTAACGATTTAACGAGATATAAACAAGTTACTGCGGATAGCAGTCAGGAAGCAGCTGATTCTCAGCAGGGCACGGGGGTAGATGCACTTTTAGACCAGGGCAAAAAAGTGCAGAAACTCAAGTTAGCTCGTCCTTCAGCAAAGAAGGTAATTAATCATCTGACTGTAAATGCATGAAAAAAAATCCCATTTTCTAACTTTAACAGCATTTAATACCACGTTTGGGTTGAAGCAGTCTGTTGAATGTTCGTTTAGAGTAGAACCCATTAAAATCTCTACATGGGACCCCGCCTATATCACAGAACATTAGCAACAGTAATTAATTTTAACGTCATCAGCGGGATTAGGAAACATCCACTGCTAATATGGACTGTAGTTCCGTAAACTGTCACCCTCCTTCTGGCTGTATTTCATGCGTAGCCCTGTTGGGGACTTCACAATTTTAGGGACTTAGGCGTCTCAAACTTGGCATCTAGTCTCCACATCTGGTTCTTAAATTAATCTTTAATTTATCCCTTAAAGTAGGACAATGCAGGCAGCAGATAAGAGCTAAAACGCACTTTAAGATCTCCCTCTTGTGGTCACTGTTAAAGAAAAATTAGCTGAACTGAAAAGAAAGGAACATAAGCAAAACATCCAACTTAATGGGAAGAAAGCCATTTCTGAACTGAGAAGGTATAGAAAAATAATACTTTATTTTGCCTGATGTTAAAAGTTATACTGTAGACTGGACTGCGAGAGCTGAACTTATTTTAACGTTGAATAAATTATTCCATTAAACAGCAAACCTAATCTAAAAGTAATAACTGCTCTGGACACGGAGCGTTTGCACCGAAGGAAATGAACTGATTTTCACGGGCAAGTCATCCAATGTTTTTGTACCCGCTTGCTAGACTACACACCTTAAATTTAATACTTTCCGGGTCATGGACTGCCTCTCCTGTTACAGAGAAGGAGATTTTTGAGCATTTCTGTGATATAAATCACAGGCAGTATACAAACTAAAATACACACATACATACATCATTATTTTTAATATGAAATTCTGTTTTCAGAAAGACAGCAGCTGAATCTCATCACAAGAACAGATGGTTGGAAGAGATTCTTCTAGATCACATTTCGGTACACCTACAGGCCTTTCTGCGTGGTTTCTCATTTGTTGGATGTTGTGGAAGTAACATCTTTCATAAGATGTATACTGAGCTACCCAAATAAGGGATTTCTGTTTCCATGGAAATTTGCGTATTTCTGCATCTGGGAGAGAAAGGGCATTCAAAGTGAACCCAGATTTTCTCGAACTACCTGAAAATTGAACTGGTCCTCAGATTACTATTTCCTACATCATCTCTCCGGGCGAGGAGGCTCCGGGCTTCCAAAACAACCTCGCCAATTGGTTCACAGCATCGACAAAATACCTATGGTCCTTCTACTATATAAACTAAAACAGTTTAAAGGAAATATTTGTTGAAAAAAAAGACATGCCCTTGGAGGTCAGACTGTAAAACTCCTGCTTTGTTGTATAGGTACCTGGCAGACACGTTTGTTGTGAAGGAAACACATTCATTAACAAAAGTCAGTGGTGTTGTTCCAGTGATGTCCTCCCATTGGGCAGGGGTGGTTCCTCCTGAAATGATAAAGATTTTTTTTTAAAAAAAATTAAACCAAGCAAGTCTGCAACTTTCTTGTTTTGAAGAAATATTTTAAATTCTTCTGAGTTTTTAATCGCTCGGAAACCAGTAATAATCCCAGACGCGCCTTCTCCTCAGGTCCACGTTATTCCACTTAATGCTGGTAGGATCGTGTGGGTTCCCCCTGAGAAAACCAAGTGCCCAAATGATGAGCCCTGTAGCACAGCTCCAGAAATTTAAAAAGAGGCTAGAGTTCTGGGGGGAGAGATGTAACTTATTAGAAATTACTTTTGTTCGTTCCAGACATACGTGGGGCAAAACTGCCCCAGATACAGCATCCTTAAATGTATACTGTTACGCTTGGGAAACAGTAATAATAATGTTAGTAATAGTAACAAGTACAATTTAAGATTTCTATTATCTACTTTTTCAAATAATTCAAAGATTCAGATCCAGTATGTACACAACTACGACATTTCTTCTGCACGCTGCTATGAAAACGTGGGCACAATCTCTCACCCCGCGGCTGCGTTTTCAAGTTCTTCAATGTATGTCCCTGCCTCACCTTTTGGTGAAGGATGCCCTGTTGCTTTCCAGTTACCTTAAAATCCCACTGAGCTTACCCAAAACAGAAATAGCAGTGCTTATTTTTAACAGCAGTTACGAATATTTGTAAAAGACCTACCAAGAACTAAAGGAAAAACTACGCGCGTAACCAGGGCTAAGTCAGAATCTGTGCCTGTCCCTCCTCTCACATACAGCTGACTTGTTAGACATCCATTTGACCACGTGGCAGACTCTTTATGCAAACCTTAAACCAACCTGTATCTGTAAAGGAACACTAGTTTTCAGGAAATACCTCCTTTTGGAGAAGCGTTCTTGGAACCAATTTCCCCTCTCAAGTTTTCTAGAGGAAAACTTGAGATCCCTTGCAGATCCCTCCAAGAAACTTACTCAAATTCCTCTTTACAGAGTAGACCATTCTTCTCTATTTAAATAAACATTGTTTCACTCTCTTGGAAATGCAAATACTTCTCTGTTGACCAGATGTTTTTTCCCCGGTGTTTCAGCAGCTGCCTAACACCTTTGTATCAAGAAATTGTAAAAGCACCTGTTCTCCAGAATGACTCATTTGCACATCTCCGTGTGTAATTCATCTTATATGGGGTTGGTTTTTGAAATCGGTTTGAAAATGAAGGAAGATGCTCACTTCTAAACAGGATAAATGCACGCAGCTCATTTCTGCCTTTTAGCTGAGACTAAGATGCTAATTGCTTTGGAGTTACGGGAAGTATAAAATGTTTAACTCCAATATTTTCCTCTGAAACGCACTGCTACGTTACGTCTGTAGTACACTTGCTCTGCGAGGCAGAGGTATGCTGCTTCTCAAGAAACAAACTGTAAGAAAAATGCCAAAAAAAACCCCCAAACCTGAAGCCTATGATTATATACACACCTCTTCTTAGTCCAAACAACAAACGCTATTTCTGCTATAAAGTAATTGTTGGGAAAGCAGTTGATTTTCACAGCCTCTCGCCCCAGTCAGGTTTTCCCCAAGCTTTCCATGCGTATAATCAGTTTAACGTGTTCAGCCCACGGCGACTGACAGTTTTCAAGATGCACATAAAAAGCTCTGGTATTTGCATCCTACCTGTTATACTGCATAGTAACCTTAAAGTGGGTGTGTCGCCTCCGTAACCATTCATGATCCCGTCGCTGGAGGCCTTGGGGACGGGAATCGTCATCGTGATGGGTTTATGGAACTTCCTTCTCCTGGGCTCCAGCGTGACTATAGGGCTGAAGGTAGCCTTGTTGCCTAAAATCTTCTTTATAAGTTCAGCGTGCATAGGTTGAGCCTTTCCAAAGCAAAAGACAATGATAGAGTAGTTCCTTGCAAATAGTTTAATGAGTACGTAAAGAACTGGGTCTGTACGTTGCCACGGAATCCTGAAGTTTTTAAGCTAAATGGCACAATTCCCCCTGAAAACCTGCAGCCAGAAGAACTGATTGCCAGCGAGAAAGGGAGAACTCCCTTTTTCAACTTTCCCACGCCTTCCTCCTCTTCCTATCCCCTTTCTTGCTGCTTTACAGCACCAATTTAATTCGCTTAACCAGTAGCAAATGATTCCCTTGTCATCTTTTTTTTTTTTTCCCCTTAGAACGAGCTCTGAGCTATTTTAGTAAGCTAATTTAGCTATTCAAAGGGGATTTCAACGAGCCCGCTCTCATGGCCAAGGTAAGCAGTGGATGCAAGCAGCAGGAGGAGGGGTAGAGGTAAGGGAAACACTTCCCCCTCCTTCAGTAGTGAACTGTTTGTCTGGTTGACTTCACGCTCAGAATCTGTCCGTTTGACCCAGTTTTTACAGCACTTTGTCCTTCTCTGATGCTTTCCATAAAAAGTAGTTAAGAAATGGTTCTACGCCCTACACTAATATCGTCATCATCATCACCCAAATCAGGTGTTTTTCCCAAGATCATATAGAGTTAACAGACAGGAATCTGAATTAACTGGAGCACCTGAAGTTTTAGCACTTGCTTTGACTTTTGCATGGATCTTTTTTTCTTTTTTTTCCTTAATTATTTTTACTAGAAGCGCTCTCAACAACAACATACAATACGATAAGCTGAATATGTTGGTTCTCCCTTCAAAGAAGGCGATTTTACACTTAAAAAAAAAGGAAAAAAAAAAAAAAAAAAGACATAAGCCTTGAAATTGTTTCATCGTACCTGGAGGCCAACACGAATCCGTTTGGTTAGAGCCCCTTCTGGGAAGACCGCCTGCACTTGTGGTACCACGGTGCTGCTCAGCACACCTCCCTCGGGTCCGATGAGGTTGCTGTCCTGTTTGATGCGGGAAACCACCGCGAAGTACTGAGGGAAATCTCGGGTGATGATACGGCAGATACGTTTCTTCTCGAGCTCCTCCGGAGTGTCAAGTACTGAGGCCAAAAGAGAAGACGGTCAAAAGGTGGGAATTTCGTAGAAACACCACTGTGAACTTCAAAACGCGTTCAAGCTTTTCACAGTTTAACTGCGGTTGGCAGAAGTATTTAGTCTAGAAATCAAAGGGGAAAAGGAAATGCACCCCAGTATTGTAACTGAAGCACAGAAATCAAGAACGGAATAGACAGACAGAACAACTAACTGAAGGGAGTTTAAGACAGCAAACTCAGAACGTGTTGACAACATCCCCAAATCAGCAGGCGAACCACCAAAGGGGTCGGTCCAAGCCCCTTTTCGCTTCCTGTGTTTACACTATGGCCCGGAGGAGCGTCGAGGAAACTAAACTCCACATCAAAAAATTATCAAAGTATGAGTTCAGCTTTACGTATGTGAGTCGGCTCGTTTACTTTTGCGTTTGTGTTTTGTTTTTTTTTTTTTTAAAAAAAAAAGCCTTCAAAATTTGTAACAAATACTGCAGATCCTAGACAGCCCAAGGCCATTCTGTTCTCTCAGAAAACAAGAGTACCCATGACTGACATTCCCTCCCACACACGTAGCTGCTCGGAAAGGATTAGTATGATAATTGCCTTGTTTTGGAAGGATGTTTGCTATGGAAGCTTTTCACTTAACGCTCTGAAAAGGAGCAGCAGAAAACATAAGTTCAGCATCTATTCTCAACGTCGTGATGGTAGAGTTTGTTTTGTCCAACAAAACAAAACAATTTTTCTCCCACAAAAAAAAAAAAAAAAAAAAAAAAGGATTTGTTTTGTCCCAGTGGCACGGTCTACTTCAGCAGACCACGCAAAGGAAGTAAGCCCAAGTACGCAGCGCTTCTGCTGGCTCCTGTACTGAGAACGTGATGATGCTCCAGTGTGACTGAAACGAAGCATGTGAAGAATGTAGTGTCAGAAATTCTAGGAAAAATCAAACCTGAGGTGCTAAATAGAATAAAAGGTAAAAAGCTATTACCCCCGGTGACAGAAGCAATGCAGGAGCAGAACAAAAACCAAACCAAAACAAAACAAAAGAGACACCGGATACCTTCATCCATCCCATTCAAGATTTCATTGAGCTCATCCTCAGTGTATTCGCAGAAATGCTCCTTCCAGCTGTCCCCGTTCTCGCTGCGCAGGATCACCAGCTCTCTCTCTTTCCCACGCAGAGCAGCAAAATGGGGAATCTCCACAATCACAGGCCTGGCACAGCAACACAGCGCATTAAATGCATACGGGAGAGAGGAAGAAACAGGATTAACAGCAACTCTATTCAGTCTGCTACAAAGTGACCTGGAATTCTACCTATTTTGCCGGAATATTTTGGCAGAATCCTAAACTAGGAGGTCACTAACACAGATGCGATTTTCACAGGGACCCAGCAAATGCGGCAGGACAGATTAAAAAGTGCATTCACCTCTTTCCACAGTGCGAATGGTATTTGGTAAGGTAATAGTGCTCAGCTAGAAATTTGGTAATTGCTTTGCAAATTGATAAAAAAAACTCATGCCCGTTTTAGTTGTCACTACTGTCTGGGTTAACCTGTGCAACTTCATTTCAAAGAGAATCTACTGTAACATATATGAACAGTGGGACAAATTCTGATCTCACTTATACTCGTGCAAATCAGAATAATTTCATTGCAATCAGGGGGCAGTTGTGTCCTGTGCCAATTTTTCTCCACTGTAATTGTATATACGTTCCAATGAATTTATTCCCGATTTACACTCTGGGAGAGATAAAGGAGGTCTGAGATCATCTGGGTTTCTAGGTCAGTATAGGAGATAAGAATTTGCCTCGTTGCCGTACAAGCAGATGTCAATATATGTATCAGTCCATATATATACACACACATACAACGCATATGTGTACATATAATATATCTATATTTATATACACATATACATAACATACTCTTAGAAATAAGAGAGCAAATACAAATATATTGTATATACCCTTCTCTAATTAGAGGACTCGGGTTACTATGTACATAGTGAACGTCATGTGTTCTATTATACTGGTGGTATCCAACATACAACTTATTGATTAATCAGTCCTTGATACACAAAACATTGTGAAATTTACAGTAGATTCCTTTTTTTTTTTTTTTTGGTCCCAATCCAGGTTGCTTTGCTACAGACATCAAGCACATAACTAGGAAGATTTCATGCCAAAACGAAAATGAAGGCCACAGTACTTTAAGAAAAAGATACAAACATACCACCAAAACAAAACCACAGACCACAAGGGTTGAGAAATGGTCCACTAAGGGTTAGGTATACAAAATTTCAAATGATAGAAAGGGACAATAATATCATGGGCGTAATGACATAAAAAAATCATATTGCAGAAGGAGGAGAAGAATGGGGAGGTCAGCATCCATCAATTTGTTTCAAGTCTCTCCTACCCAAGGAATTTGGTCCCAGGAGGCCCCAGCTGAAGGATTCGGCTGACCAAGCTTTCTCCCTCATTAAGTGGGGGAGGAGCCGTAGGCAGATGAAGTTTACTGAGTACATCCAAAGCAGCAGTGAAAGAAAGAACATAAATAAACTTTATGTATTTTTTGTGCCAGAAGGCCAGTGCCACTGTCCGGTCCACAGAGTGGAATTAGGCTGTACACTGAATAAGGTTCCGTCCTAGCGATGACAATTTGGTGATGGAAATCAGCAACGTTAGTTCCGTTAATTTAGGATCTTTTCTCGCTTACGGGAAGACGAGGGGAGTTTTGGCAGCGAACGCAATGGGAACAGGATTTAGACCTCAGAATGCATCTCCGCAAACAGTACAGTAATTTTTTTGTGATTTCGCTGCCGGTACAACACCCAGAAAAACACTGGCAGGAAGGGCACAAAGACCTGAGAACGAACACAACTGCGCTATATCCTGGTGAGATATTCTCATTAGATAGAGAAACCATTAAAAAGAAAATGGGAGACATACTTAAGGTCCATTTGTGTGTGACAAAAGATAACGGGAAGACTGACTGTGACGATATTTCTTCCGCTCTTTAGATTTCTTTCTGCTTCTCTTTAAAAGCGACCCAGATGCAAAAAGAATCAGCGGCACCAAGCACCTCATTAACCAGCTCGTTGGCTGTTACGTGTGATATTAAAGAGGTATCCCGTCTGTCGGAAGGAATGGTTGCTTTGCTCTTAGCGTCGCATTCGCGGCGTTTCAGAACTGCTCTCGCTTTTTTACCAGATTAGAGCAACGGCGAAGCAGCCAAAACACGTCTGGGGTACGTTCTCCTTTCACGCTCCACTTAAAAGCAGCAGGCAGTTAAAAATTACCAATCGGCTTGTTAGAAAAAGAACTAATGAAGTTAGTGGCTTTGATGACTACCTGTTAAAACAGGATTTTAAAGCAACTGATTTGTTTCGAAAGGGATTTCAACTATTGCTGCTTACAGCGTCACTTTTTTTGGGCAATTTTGGAACGAAGCTATTTATCGTAATAGAAGGGGTTCCTTCAATCATCCACTTTTGGATGCCACAGTTGATAGGGAGAACAGTTGGTAAAACAAATTACAAAAAAAAAAAAAAAAAAGTGTGGATAACTGCTGCTTTCGGCTGAAAATTGCTAAAACAAGCTCAGCAGCAGACACAAATCTGATCTTTCTACGGGTTTTGCAGCATAGGACAAAAAGAAACGGCCCCCAAAAATTCCAGGGTTGTCCTATTGCTTAATTTAGCAATTTCAACCAAAGAAAAAACAAAGGCACTGTGCTTCCCTGATAGTCCAAATTACCGATAACACAACACAAGTCTCTAAAATAAGCAGCTGTAACTTGTGTTGCATACGTAAGCAGGCGTTACATTTGGGATTTAGATCAGTGCTGTGCTATCCGTGCCTTATACGCAGATTATTGAAATACAGCATGAATCGCCTTTTCTGGCTCCAAAGGGGCCTTTTCCAGCTATAATATCACAACACTGAGTACTAATTACATCCAAGGAAGCACATTAACCTTAGCGCTAGTGGTTAAAATATCCGTTTTCAAAGGAAAAGGCGGAAAAGCTTTGTGAATTGTTAACTAACAACTGATTTGTATTTCATATGACCAAACACCTTTTTTTTTTTTTCTTTTTGTTTTTTTTTTTTTTTTCCTGTTCAAATCTTGGAAAAGGAACCATTTCAGTGCAACTTGCGAACGGACGAAAGTAGACCGAAGGTTTCCCTTTAGGCCATCCGTCCCCCTTCCTTACCCAAGAAACTGAGCTCCAGAAGGTCCAACTTCAATCAGGCGGCTGGCCAGACCTTCGCCTTCCACCATGGGAGGCATGGTGGCCAGGCGGTGGCGTTTCACCAACCGGCAAGTCACTCGTGTCGGAGCAGTGCATTTCCGCGGAGGGATAATGATTCGGAGCCCGTTATGTCTACAACCTCTCATGGCACCCCCGCGAGCGTCCACCATGAAACTAACCAGGAAGCTAGAAAATCGGGGAAAAAAGCAATTAGGCACAAACCACGTGGAAATTCCTTTTGGTTATGTTCCCCATACGTTAACAAACTACGTACGTAAATATAGCGCTTTCTCAAGATGGACAATTAGAAAAAGCCTTTCTCCCATGTGAAGCACCGAATCGTGCTAAGCTCATTTACTAATTAACCTGGCAACTGCTGTCTAAGAGATCGTCACGGAAAGTCTTATTTTACAGTGCTGCTGTTGGTAAAAACACCAGCAGTCACTAATACACGTCAGCACGTGTGTATGTACCTATTAGAGACAAAGTCAAGTGCAAATATCACTACTCTGTACCTGCAAGCATCTATATATTGTAAAGTTGGCACTCTTTAAATTACTTTACAAGCAAATACATCTTACTGAAGAAAATTACTTATGACTCATGAATATAAAGCCAATTCTGATTGGAGGGGCTGTTGGGCTTTTTTTTAGGTCAGCTCTGTGATTTTCTAGTTATTTGATCAACTGTAATTTCTAACAAAACTGGGTCTGGATTTAAAAAAAATAATCAGATTTCATTCTGGAGTCTGTGGATACAATTTGTAATACATTGGGGGAGCTAGCACCTCTTCACATAAAAAACCCAACACGTCATTATTTTTTGAAGAAAAATTTTGGATTTTCATGAGATGACAATAGCTACAGTCACTGTATAAGAGGTTTACTTATGGATTTTTGGTTTTCTCTGTTACTTTGCACAGCAATACAACGTCCCAGTGGAAAACTCAGAGATGCGGAGAGGCACCTACGGGGACCCCTCTTCTAGCAGGAGGTAAATTATCTTATTTATTTCTTTTACTTTAAAAGGGAGAAAAACATTTCATGGAATTTCTTTTATGCTGAACTTTTTATAGTTCCATATATAACCAACAGGTAGATTTTGACTGGTTTGTTACAAAGATTGGGGACATTCTTGGGAAAGGTGTGGAACTACTGCATTTTTATATTATTTTTTTTTTTAATTTTACTGGTTTATGACTTTGGATCATGCCTGATGTGGGATGGGGATGTCAGGTTGCTGGAAGTGAAAATAGCACTAGATGAGACAGAACGGTATCGGGCCTACTTCTACCCACTAAAATAGAATCATCACATGGGGAGTCGCAGAAATGCTACTGAAGGACCTGCAATAGAGAAAAGCCCTTATAACACCAGTAACAAAAACAGGCGGTTTTCCACCGTCCCCCTCGCCCGCTCTGTGCAACAAACATTGCCTCCGTTCTCTGTCCGCACGGCTACAAGGAATTCCCCATGCGGTAAACACACAACACTCGACACACCGTGCAAGTCAGAGAGATGGATGATGGAGAGGAGCCACAAGCGCCAGTCGGAAGCACACCATGCACCACGGATGCCAGTCGTTCTCACACATGCAGTCTCCTATTCTACTGCCATTCATATACCTCTAGGCTTTGTTTAGTGTAAAAGTCTGGGTAGTACAACCATTATCTCATTCCTTAGAGGGTGGTGTTTCTGTGGTTTTAACAAGGGGGGAAAAAAAGAACATGAAAACATTTTACAGCTTTGATTCCCGGGGGATTAATTTAGGAAAACGGGAGCTTCCTTCATAAAACACACACTTTATACATTTTAAAGCACAGACGAAAGGAGAGCTTGAGAGATACTAAATGCTCAATGGTTGCCATAATGCTCTGTGGTTTGCGTTGCAATTTTCCTTTAACTGTACGAAGCGGTGTCATCACAGCGGTTCTGAATTGTGTTTCAGAGAATCGGTCCACGTCTGTATTATAACGGGTGCGTTAGAGGCAGTCAACAACACTGAGTGCTGGAAGAAGAGTTTCACGTTTTGATGCTAATACTATCAGCAACAGAAATACTACCCCCACAATTACCAGAAGCTAATGAGCGCTCTTAGTGAATTAAATTAGCGTTCACAGTTTTCATTGCGTAAGCTGTCACGAATACAAGTCTTGAGGATTCAATTCTCTTCATTTTTGACGTAACACTCAAGATTGTGTACTTTAACAACGGGATCAACTTCTTTCGCTGTCCCTCACTGAAATATTAGTGCTAGGTCATCTTCTCCTTATCTCCCCATGTGTCTCAGCAGTGCCCAAACCACTGTTAACTGCCAGGAGAATACACACACAAAAGTTAGGGGTCCAAATCAAATAATCTCCCTTCTGACCACAACAATGGCTACTAAAATAGTATGGTGCTCCTTCTCCGCATCATAATCCCTTTCAGACTAACTGAAAGAGAAGCAGAGCACTGAAATGGCAGTGCCTTCTCATCAAGCGCACATTACATGATGAAGGTGACTACCTTGCGGTGTAGAACCAACGCCGAAGCTGAAGCCGCAGGAATAATTTTGGGGTTTGACCATCCGTAGCAAACTGGTATCTCACCTCACAGTCACAGCCCTGCGGTCCCACACCAGCAAAACTTGGGATCCGCTACAGATCGATTAAAAACGGAGTGTGGCATTTGTCCCTAGGAAGCACTTGAGATGCAAAGGGCTGTCTGTGTTCTGGCCTTAAAATTGCAACTCTTTCTTTAAGCTCATTGAATGTGCCCGGTGGGTCAGAGAAAGGTCTGTCAGCGAATCTACCACGGGGTCTGTCGGTCATCTATCACTGACACCAACTATTCCTCCAAAGAGTGGAAAACCAGGCAAAGATAAGTATCGTTGGAAGGTGGACACAAAGATAACAGTGGTTAGGATAAAAACAGCAGGGCATTATTATTATTCACTGTAAAAAGTGCTCTTTCTATCGTAAGGAAGATCTAATCTATTTACTAAATAACGGGGCACAATTTGGCAAAAAGGAGCACACACCAAAACAAATAGATAGATTTGTGCCATATCCCTGAAACAGACCCCCCCCCCAGATGAAACGGGAGATTCCCGACGGGTTCTGTGACTTCTGGAGGAGTCTGAAACCACCCAAGAGACCGCAGTGACCCTTCAACTGCTGGACGGCAAGGTGAGGCAAACACAGAATAGTACGAGGACAGCATAGAGAGATTAGTGCCAATTATCACGCTAAATACGGAGGAGCTGGTTCACAAAACCGGCTCTATACTACTAGGAAATTTCCAGAAAACAAATTTTGGAGAACTAGTATCAACATAGCGCAAAAGACAGACACCGAAGGGGAAAATTCCTCAGCTCCAGAGCCGCGGTGTAAACGTCTGGAAGGATAGTACGCTGATGCAGGATTTGTAGAGCTGACACAGAATGGAAAAATACATTCTTTTTCACCATTCCACCCTGTTTATTTCCCAGCTTTTTGCTACGTTCAGTTTTTCGTCCACTTATTTAGTCCAATTTCTCTTCACCTCTTTCTTTTTCTTTTTAAATCAGCACATGACACATAATTTGGGGTATGAGACAGAGTCAAGCAAATAGTTCATAACAAAGCATTTGCTGAATCACTGCAGCCTCTTTCTCTGCTTATTTGCTGCACAATAGGGCATTTGGATGGTGACATTACTGTTCCAGGACAGGAAAAGCTTTGCTCTTTTGAAGAACTCTGTATATCAATATCCAAATAATTCGTACAAAACTAACGCATGACATAAAACATGCTTCCTGAGAGATGTGCATTTAGGAAAGTGAAAAAACTGTATGACTAATATAAAGGAAACGAAAAATGCAAATTAATTATTTTGCTGCCCACGCACACACGCGTCATTTCTCCTCTCCCTAATGTTTCTTTTGCCAGATGTTGGGAAGTGACTGCAGACTGAGATTGGAGAAGATTGTGCTCAATGATTGTGCTCAAAATAAAATCTTTGCATCGGTCTTCCCTGCTCTGACTTAAGACTTTGTAAGATCCTCCGTCTGCAAAGGGCACTGGGCACCCTCTGCTCATGCCAACTGCATGATGTAAAAAGTGACTTTTGGCAAAGGAGGAACCTCCACGTTCCAACTGCAGGAAGCACTACCAACCACCGGTGTGCGGAGAATGAAGAGGAGAGGGCTCATTAAAGAGAAACACAAATGGCTGTGAAGAGTTCAAGAGGAAAAAAAAAAAAGAAAAAAAATGTTAATAAAAGGGATTAAAGGGAATCAGAAGGCTCTTACGGGTTGTCACTAGAAGAGGAGAAGAAAGGAAGCATCCTAAAAAGTGAGGCTGATAAATATTCCCTACGTGCTTCTATGATAATTTATTATAATATTAAAAATTAAAGAAAACATAAAAGAAACCAAAACAACTTACAGGAACTCAGTGTAGATAATAGCTACAATTTTCAGAAGGGGTTAAAAACGGCATAACAGGGGAAGGAAAACCTTAGCAGGGACCAACTATGGTTAGGAGAAATGAGGTAAAACTGAGGAGAAGGAAAACAATATACATAGGAGAAGACTTTTGGGCAACTGATAAGTAAGAAAACACTCTTGTGAGCCACTTAAGAGAAAGGTGGCCAAAATAAGTGAACTGCTTCATCAAGCAATGCATCAAAATTACATGTACTTTCCAACAGCAGAAGTCTATTTCAGAACCCGTTTTAAATGTCCTTCCTATAACTACATCTAGGGAAAGCATCCTTCTTTAGCACCGACTTCAGTTTATCTTGGCAACCCATGGCAAGACCCTTAAATTTCAATGAAGTGGTGATTCAAAAATCAAAGCAGCAAAGTCAAAATGTGCACATCAAGGGAAACAATGGGACGCTCTTTCTCAAAACTAAGACAGCCTTTGAGTAACTTTCATTTTCTGCCAGTTTTAAAGGTTCGGTCAGAAATGATGCATCACGCAAACACGTCACCCTGACAGTCTTGCAAACTGGATCAAAACCCAGCTTCCCTGAGATTTTAGCCAGGTGGCCGTCCAATGTAAGAGCCAAATCAAGGAAAGAAATTAGGTTTTGGGAAATCATTGCCTTCTCTCTTTTAAACAGAATGCGGGGGAAATCGGGATTATCTTTTTTTTAAAGAAAAAAGTAAAGAACAAAAGCAGTCCTTTTCTAGGAACAAGTTGTAGACTGCAGCGGAGTCTATACATGCTTCTGTTAAACACATGGTTAGCTGTTACATCAAGCGTCATCCATTCTCACCTAATTTAGCAATAACTGCTCATAAATCAGAGAGGCCATTTCATTCTCTTTAATTTTAGCGCAATTAAAAATGACATCCCTGCTATACGGAAGGTAACGATATCAAATAACGTTGGCTACAGCATCCTTCTGGTTGAGGACGTATATAAAAAGTCCCCGAATCTTTCAGGTTGTTTCCGTGCCTTCTACAGAGAGCAGAGCAAACAGCAACGGGGTTCCTAATGGTTTCACTCGAGCAAAACACAGACAAATATATATATATGCATTGGATTTATCCACCTTACAAGGACAAAAAGTTGTGGTGTGTTTTCATGAAATATTTATGTTTTAGACCTGAGCCCGAGTTATTCCCTTTGCTGATTTCATTCCTATGGAATTTATTCATACCGAATTAACTCTATATCTACGCTCACTTGAAAGATAATAGCAGGATGAAGAAGTAAAATAAAAAAATAGATGCGTCAACACTGGGCCGAGAATAGATAAGAGAAGATATTTATTCTGTTATTTGTGAAGCATCCCTGTTACGTAAAAATAGCTTTGCGGAAGAGTCCCGGTTTCGGGTGGCTGCGAACGCAAAGGCACGGCGGCACTCAAACGCACTTCTCATTCCGCAGAATCATCGGCAGAGCCATGCAAACCTAGCAGCGGGAGGTGTCCTTCTACAACAGGCAACCGCTCTAGCTCTTTGAGCACACAAAACCAGGAGAGGCAAAAATCAAGGCAGCCCCACTTTCATACGGTCAGTTCAGGTACGGTTATTCTTTCAAAGTAGCTAAAGGCAGGCACACATGCTCTCATCGGGTGGCAGGAAACAACACAAAGCTCTAACACGTCGGAGAGACACATTTACGAACTCTTCTGCGCGCGTTATCGTAATTTGTAAAAGAAACCGGGAAACAAGGAGATAGCAGCGTTCAGCGTTAGTCGCAGTGTGAAGAAGCAGAAACAAACAATCAGGGTGCTTCAGCCATTGTAAAGTGTTCAGCTGGAGAAGGAAAACTGATAGAGAATCCCAAATTAAGAAAAAAAGGCCTCGATCCAGCTCCCGCTGAAGTCAACAGCAAGTCATTCCACTACCTCAGGGTGCTTTCCATCAGGCTGCAACTGTGCCATACAGAAACAAGGCAAAATATACGTTCCAGGAGGACAAAAAACATGATCCTACACGGGAAACCACTAGAGACTTAACTTATGTTAACAGTCTCTTCCTTGCGTTAGTCGAATACAGAGAGATTGAGTGCCGTGACCCAAAAATATGGGTTTGTAGGTTGGGGGTTTTATTTAGCCATTTAGTAATTTTGCACAGGTGAATATTTAAGAAGATTTTCACCTTTCTACGGTTGCATTAAAGGCAATGAAGAGGTACACTGCCAATAAACACTCAGTTTGCCAAGTGAAGACAATCTCCTTCGGGGAGGTGTTTGGTGGGGGACACAACGTGCCAGTGATTCAACCACTGATTAACTGAGGTCGCACATAAAATGCCCGTGGCGTGAAAAATTAAATATTATAGTGGGTCAGTGCTGTTATTCTACTAGATCCAATATGGTGGCACAATTTGGAAAACACAGCCTAGGCACTGGCTCTGCAATATTCTTTATATGGACAAGTGAGATAAAAGGCCCACTTTGTAACTAAACCTACCTACAGTGGTTTGTGTTGGATTCTTTGCTGGTTGGTTGGGTTTTTTTCCTTCCTTTTACTAATATTAAACCATGCCACCAACAGGGAAAAGGTATTGTTAATTAAATCAATGGTTAAAACTATCTAGGAATGTCTAGGGCGCTTTGTTAAGTTTTTTTGCAGTGGACTTATTCTGTGACCAGCATTCTTTTCTTATAGAGGACATAGCAGAGGGGAGAAAGTGGACGCTTACTGTATTAAGAAGAGAAACAGGGCCATGTGTAACTATTACTGCTAGTCGGAGTAGATCTATTATTTTTTTTTCTCTTGGCTAACGAGCAGTATCAAATCACTAAAGCATCCTGAAGTGAGGTAAGAGAGGAGGGTAAACAGGGTGCGTGAGAAGTGCAATGTATTAAAGAAAGAAATTATGCAGAAGTTCACCTGCTGTTGTCATGATCAAGACATGGAGAAGAGCATCTGCAATAGAATAGATGATTTAACATCAAAAAAGAAAAGAAAGGGAAAAAAAAGAATGAGTTAAATGAAATACTGAAATATTGGAAAAATGAAACAGATTTCTAAATGAAACACATGAACATATATATGCATATTCATTACACGTGAGAAGGTAGGAGTGAGTATGGAAGATCAGCCTACATAAACATCCTTGGTAACAAATGGTTACTACTACTACAGCAGTAATGCTAGAGTGATCTGGTTTCTCTACGTACATCCTCAAACTGGAAGTCGGGTCCCTACTATGTACAGTTAGACTCCGAGTAAATCTTTCAGAACCAGTTTAGGGAAAACGCTACTTGCTTTAGGTACCCACATCTGAAATTTGGACCATGCTGCATCAAAGGGTAAGGTATCTAAGGTAATGCCAGCCAGCGTTCCCGATAACACAATAAATCATGATTTTCTTTTCTTCAAATTTCCTATCAATATATTCTGTCCTCCACTTTCTTCCATTTGAACATGTTTCTTGTCCTCCTTTTGTTCTGTGCTACAGAATGACAAATTTCAAACGCTCAGTTTGACCTCTTTCAGCTCTTAATATTAAGTGGCCAACTTTTTATTATATATATATATATCTCCATTGCCATTTTCTTCCACCGACGTGAACAGCGATTTGCTCTGAATGAAACACGCCTGCTGTTTTTCCTTATTGTAACTTTCTGAGTAAAGGTCATAAAGGCTACAGTATAATTTGATATCATTTAGACTTTCACATTTTAGAAATGACTATCAGCTGGTCGCTGCCAGGTCCTGTTTCCGTAACTATTTCCAGGGAACTAATCTCACATTGGGGAAAGCAACTTTACGGATTCGAAATACAACACTCGAAATATATTTTGTTTACCTTGTTAGCAAGGATCCAGCCTCCTTTTTTGCAGACATGCAGCTAAGAATGATAATTCACATTATTTGTCACAGTACGAGCTGCCCGCTCCCTCATCCTTCTCCCCTTTCCATTGACGGAAGCAACAACTTCCAGAAAGGTAAATTCACTAATAATATCCCAACTGTTTCAGTTTGTCAGATACAAGTACTGATACGCTTGGATCATTTATTAGTCAAACAGGCACTTATTCATCAAATCATATATATATATAAAAAAAATCGGTATCTTTCATTAAAAAGGAGTTTTACTGCGAGCAAGTCAGAGTTGGGAAAACCGCAGAGCTGCTACAGGTCTTGCTCTAGAACACAAAAGCAAGTTAATATCAAAGCATCGACTCAAAGCTCCTTCCTCACAGTGCCATGCAGCATGTCAGATTTGCCCCTCTTCTTATCTGCTATACTTTTACATACTTGCCAGTAAAATCCTTAGAAACATAATCTATGCAACTATATTGTGGATTTTTATTTTTTTTTTTACTGTGTCACCAGAACTCAGGTATTAAAACAACATCATTTTTCAGGTGATTTATACTTTAAAATCTTACAGTCGGCCTTGTTTTTACCATTCACGCTTAACTACTATGGCTGACAGAGACATAAGAATATGATACTGTCAAGCAACGACTAAATCCTGCCAGTGAAATCTTGTTCAGTGGGTTTTTTTGCCTTCCAACTTAATGAAAATATACGTATTCTTCTACAATAGGATATTGGGAGGTATGAGATTAAAACTGTGAAACGCATTTGCATTTATGTAGGCATTAGTTTTGTCTCTCATAAGGCTTCAGAAGGAAGTGATACATAATATACCCTAATACTACCTAATTATTTTCTTGTTTTCCAAACGGCTGCCAAAGACTCTGAGCAAAGATATTGCTTTTCTTTCCTTATGGATGAAATTACCAACGTATTGGAACAATAGGTACATTTAAATTTTACATGGATGGTTAAAACATTTTCCCCTTCTGAAATTTCCGAGAGGGGAGGAGTTTGGGTTAGTTATGCAAAGGCTGAAATATACGCCTGCGAAATTCCACACCGAGAGAACATCTCTCTATCGATTTATCCCTTCGCTTGGGGGTGTTACACTGTGATCCACAGAAACACCCCCCTACAATGGGAGATGGGTAAGAACCCAACAACAATTTGGGGTCAGCCACTGAAGCAGTGCAGGGAGAGCACAGCGTCATTTCTTTTCCCCTCAGATTGCACAGAATATGTCATTAAGATCATCCGTGCCAAACAAATTACTGTCCAATACGTTGCTGATGTGTTACTTTATACCAACACGGTCTGAATTCAAGCAACTTCCAGCGTTTTGGGCAAAACCAAGGCCATACCCTTCCTTAAAGCCACTAACAATGTTTATACAGGACTTCTTTTCAAACACTAAGAGTATTCTTTCACGACAGATATATACTACTTCAGTGTGTGCGCCTGAAATGTCAGCAGTGCGGCTAGTTCGTTAAGAACCTCGTAACGGTGTGTGTCTGTGTATGAAGGAGGGTGTAGGTGATGTTCCAGCTAAGTGAACGCAACAATCGTGCGCACGGCACTTCTACAATCGGTTCACTTTTAAAATAAGGTCCTAAAAGGTCCTAAAATAAGGGCCTCAACTCTAGAAGCCAATGTATTTTCCTAAAAAACAAGATGTAAACAAGATGCACCCCGACAGTTTACGGTAACTTAATGACCTGGACAAATCTAAGCAAGATAAAAACGAAGCGTTGTACAGTCTTTTCCAAAGGTTAAGTAATCCTTATTATAGGTTTCTTTATTACAATATTTAGTGGCAAGTTAGTAGGTATATATAAAAAGAAGAACGTAATTTGTGTTGTGTTAAATGTTACTATTTCATACGAGGCTGCAGAGAGCGTCGCTCCTCTTTAAAATCAGATATTCTTACCCAACTGCTGGCATTCTGGTCATCCAAACAGATCTAAATAGCACTAATATTTTTTTTAAAAGAAAAATGATTGCACATCCAAGGAATAAAAGCCACTCTTCTAGGAAGTATTTAGTTCATCCTCTGCAATCACTGGAAAGTCATACCTTTCCGAAAATGAAAAGGAATACATCCTTTGGAAAAAGTCTGTAAACTATTTAGGGTTAGAATAAACCACCAAAGCAATTTTAAAACTCCCATATACTGACATATATATATATATAAACACATACATACTGTACACATCAAGTATTTTCATTTAATTGGTTAATTTTAGAGCTCAAGAAAAGCAAATCCAAACAACACTGGTCACAGCCAAATATCCTGCTACCAGCGAACAAACTGCTCAGATATGTCACAAATCAGCCAATTTGCCGTCGCAGTTATGACAATACTGTTCCTCTTCTAGCCCAGGACTGCCTGTCATTCCAAATGGGACTCCAGTGCTATTTTTTTGAAAGATATGGACTGTGAGATTGTTGCAAACTCATTTGAGATTAACAAAAAAATAAAAAGAAAATCTTTCTCCTTGTGACGTCCTGCCCTGCTGCGTACAACGCAGCTCCACAGAAATGAAATGCTTCTTCATGATACCACTTTCTTATGAATTTCATCTGCACACGCCTCATCAAATCTGACGGCAAGACACAAGCGTAGAAAAGAACCAAATTACTTCAAACACGGTAAGTAAGAGCGCTTAATCCAAATGAACTCACAGATTTTGAGGGCAGCCAAGATAAGCTTTGTGAGTATGAATTTGGCTGGCCCTGCACTTTGACCTGTCTTACTGGGTTTCAATGAGCTCGCCTAAATGCAAGTGCTTACGAAGAGTGAGTTGTGAGAACGCAGGAGCAGAGTGGCCAAATCCGTGCAAAGCACATGATGTTTAGGTTGTTTGTCTGTTACACGGTTCATGTAATTTAAAATCCTTGGTTTCTTTTTTTTTTTTTTTTTTAGCAATCGTGACAAACACTGGAGTCGGTGCGTACCTAAGCTACTTCACGAGCACAGGAAGCACTCGCCATCTGGAGCGATTAGGCCCTTGGTCTCAATCATCACTAACTTTAAAAAGGCACTGTGTTTATTCCTCCAGAAAATCCACACAAAGGCACGCGTGTACGTGTCAATTATCTCGTTCATTCCTCTTGAACTCGACTGAAAGCCCACTGACGTGCAGTGATTTCAGTGGATGGTCTTGGTACTCAGGCTCGCTTGACTGTCAGAGCTTAAGAGAGCATAACCATTTATTAACAGCTCTAGGAGGCAATGAATTAAAATACAACTCCTAGTTAAGCATTAGTTGAAGCTGCTGCCACCGCAGGTATTCTGTTTCGCTTTTTTTTTAATATAATGCTAATTGATACACTCACCCTGAATGAATAGGGCTGGAAGAAAGAGCCACATTGTCCAAGTTTTCAGGGCCCCAGCTTAAGCGATATGAATTCCTTTCAGCTTCTTTGGCCAGAGTTGTTACCTTGGTAAGCAAAAAACCCTCCTTTTTACTACAATAAAATCAATTAATCAACCAAACAATAAGAAGATGTATTTTGCGTAGTAGTGCCTAAAGCGTTTTAACTTTTTTTTTTTTTAAAAAAAAAGAACACAAAAGAGTAATAATAGCATTAAGATCTTAGAAACCCCTTATTGTAACGTTTTGTACTTGCTCAAAGTACTGATATGTTAGTGGTCCCAGTGAAAAGAATGCTGTGATTTACCAAAGTGGCATTTTCTAAATCTTTTTTTTTTTTTTTTTATTAACTACAAGCGTGCTTCCGGATAGTATCTTTGAGAACAATGGCATTGAGTTCATTAGATGACCTGAATATTTAGCCCAACGGCTGCTACCATCATTCAAAAATCAGCTAAAATGTAGAGCATTATAAAGACAGTCCCTGTACTATATTCACACATCTCTTTATTTTGGAATAGAGTTTATATCTCTTTATTTTGGAATAGAGTTTAATATGGCACAGCATAATTTGCCATTAAATATCAACGAAAATTAGATTTATATTAAAACAAACAAAGCAGCACACACGGCACGGCATCGTGAATACAATCTAAACTGTAATCTTTTCATCTTTCTGTATTTATCCAACCGATAAGCGGACTGAAGAGCATTTGCTTACCTGCTGGCTGGGGATTACCACCGTGTCGTCAATCATGGCGCTGTCCCTCAGGTAGGAGGCATGGCTCAACGTGTGGGACCTGTCTGAACTGAAGGATCGCAGGCTGGGAGGTTGGTAGGATGCCATAGCAATATATCGGCAGTACAGATGATGTTGTAAAGGTGTCATGATAAGAGCGAGTGGGAGAACGAAAAAAAAGCGTGCTATTAGCAATATGATGCAGCTTCCAGGGGGAGTAGATAACAGTCACGGGGGAAAAAACAGAGCTTTACCAATCTGTGCTGTGCCACCTTTCCCACCAAGGGCCACAAAGTCTTTTGACCGACTTATTTGCTTCAAAATGCAGAACCTAGAGACTAATCTAGATGACAGTTTACTTTATACTCACAAATACTTTACACTTGGCTTTGTGGCACGATAGTTTCCTTATAACAAAGAGCATGAATTTCTTTTAAGTAAGGCTCTTTGGAGAAGTTCTCTCTCCTGCTACGTCACGCTAGCAAACCGCTATGGAAAACCAGAAGGCTAACACCTGAAGAAAAGCTGAAACGACCCTTTCTGAAGCTTTGTTACGATCTACCCTCTCGCCTTAACGCTGGAAATAAGGAAGCTTGGTATCGTCCCCTGGAAGGTACACACAGCGAGGTGAATTGTGGCCAGCCGCAAGCTCCTGTGTAAAACAAAATTCTTCCTCTGTATGCCAAGAGCATCTTTAGAGAGGCAGTCCGAATGTGAGCACCGTTTGCTTTGTAAGTACACACAGCTCTACAGAAAACTGGTTGCTGTAGCAATGAGAGATGCAAAGCAGTAAATAAGCTGCTTCCAAGCACTGGCTCGGAATGTAACTGCGGTATCCACTAGCAAAAAGCAAAAAAAAAAAAAAAAAAAAAGGACAAATAAGACACCACAGAAGGACTTATTGAGGTAAATGGGGTTTCTGCTACCGAATTGTAGTAGTTTTGTCCTTTAAATGTTCACTCGCAGCAGTATTACAATGGTGATTTTTCAAAAACAGATCAACCACCTTCAGATGTCGTACGTGTACTCTGTGACGTTGTTCTGTACCTTGAGGACTACAGTACGTGTAACTGAAGGAAGCAGCTTTATTTTCATGGCTTACACATCCATGAGTAGCACTCATCATGACTAACACACTGGATCAGAACAATAGGCCATTTATCCAGATACACAGATTTTGAAGGGACAATTCATTTTCAGCAGTTAGCAATAAAATCGTCGTGAATGTTATGGACAAGAGATTCAAGTGCTTTAAATGCAGATCTTGTTGGAAATCATATTTTACCATCTGATTCAGACCAGTCAGCCTTTTTTAACAATAGCTACGTTCACTCAACAATTGTTTTTGTATGCATTTTTAGAAGCAAATGGTTCTCTTATTTTTATGAGAAATATATGACATTGAAGACTAATCAATGCTATTGATCATTGATTTATACCAATGGCCTATTCAGCATACTAGATGGATTGTACAAAACTGAAAGCAAAGATAGCTATTACACAAGTACCAGCCTTAGGGAAGTTTTGAGAAAAAAAACCAACAAACCAACAAGAAATAATCTCTCTCTTACATGTCATGAAATGTCTTTCCCCCAGACACGGGGAAGAGGTGAGAGATGTAAGGCTGGTACTAGTGGAATTGTGCATTTCTGGAATCCCATTCTGATTCCATTAAAACAACCAACAAAATTTCAGTGGGGACAGAAGCTGACCCTAACTGTCTGCATACAACATTGCAGAAAAAAATTATGAAAGGGAATCTTGACTGAAGAGTATTTTGGTGAAACATTTTAGAGTGATTTGGGTTGGCCGAGTACACCTTGCTTGTTTGTAACAAGAGCGCTCCAGCGAACGTTTGTTCTTTGGCTGAAAAATAAGCCTCAGCAGCAGACCCCATTTGCCGTCATTATCCTTTATTCATTTCAACGGTTTGACACTTTCCGAACTGCTTCGCTGCGCCATGCAATGCTTGTAAGAGGTTCACCATCCAAGTTGTAGGTTCTGCTATTCAGCTCATGTCATGTCCTGGATAGATACTGAACGAAAGGAAGCGTGGACTAGATTTGACTGGTTATCTGTACGGTGATTTTGTCTATATTCTCCTGCAAGTACTGGGCACTGCTGCCACCACCACTACAAGTAGCCCAGTACATATCCACTAGGTGGTACCTCTACTTAAGCTCCAGTAAATATCCAATACGTTGAGGGTACGGATGTTATCTACAGGAAAGGTATGCAAAAGCATGACTGAGGTCTGTAGGAAATTTGAAGTTTAAATTTTCTGCTACCCTTAATTTCAAAACTACTGTTCAGATGACGCTGCCCCTCTTCTGTCAGCTATACCAGCTAAACGAAGAGCAAACCAGTAGTTCAAAGGTCTGCGCTTCTGCGACTTAGATATGAAGGTACCGACTGAAACGCCAGTCCAGTTACGGAAGTGTAGTGGCACTTTTTTATTATTGTAATAAGTCTTAGAGAATCCCGTAAAAAAACCCCAAACCTAAATCAGAGACAAAACTAATGTCTAAATACAGATTCTTTCCGAATCTGGTTGATGAATCTTAAGTCACAGGGGTTGTGGGGTCAACAGCCCTCTACTCAGCCCCAGAAACTGAACTGTGGAACCCAGGAATGCTACAAAGCTCCTGAGGATAAGAAACGCGTCTTGCCCGTGTTAGGTAATTGCACAGGCACGTATCACCCACCTCGTCTAAGCTCTGAATAAAGCCCAGGTGGTAATCAGAATAAAAGCAGCACACTCTAGCCAAGTTTCTAATCTGGATGACCGGGAAACCACGTTGCAGTACACATCCACCTGCCAGCCTAGAGGGAGCTCTGGCAAGCCCGAGGTTCAGCTGAGTGCATCTCTTGTTGTGGGAAGTATATGTTGTTTCAGATGCTGGGAAAAGAACCTGACATCATCGAAAACTATATAAATCAGCCTTGAAAACGTTTCTCTACTCAAAGACCAAAAGCCTTCCTCACGCTTGTCTTAGACTGGAAAAGCGGAAGGGCCTTCCAATGAAATGTCTTTTCAAACACTGGTGATCTGATATGGCCCGAATTAGTTCTGCCTCTCAATATCCAGATGGAGAATCCACCTAGTGTAGTCCATTCTCTTTAATTTTTATTCTACCACTGCTTCCCCACGTAGAGAAGGAAAATGGCCACCAGCTGGCGTGATCTAGTGCAACATCCCCGATCCTTGCTAACGCTATCTGTACTGGAATCGTCGAAGTTTCTGTGGGACTGTGGCCTTTCCAGAGAGAGAGCACTGTCGGATCGGTATTCACCCCTCCATATCATACTCATTTGAGACCATAACTATCTCCAACGGCAGCGTCGTTCATTTGGTTCTCCAAATCAACCTTCCGGCATACAGCAGGCCTCCAAAATGGATGAAGAGAGACGGGAGCCATAAGAGGATATAGAGACAACATGTTTTCATGCTATGTAATACCTACCTGGGCATGGTGCTAATGAAAGCATATGAAAAAAGAATGAAGGGGAGAGAGAAATAAAATAAATAGGAAAGATGGTTATAAAAGAAAATGACATGTTTTTAAATCAAATAGTTTAATGCGTAAGATTACATGAGTCTAGACTGCTAATGCTATTTTGCTTTACTGAATTTCTTGAAAAACCAAAGGCAGTATAACGCAATGAAAAATCACATTAAAGCAAAAGCAAAGTAATTTAAGCAGTCTATGTGAAAATTCTTACAACCGGTAACCTGACAGTGACAGAAAGTGAGACCGTGGAGTTAGAAAGACGTACTTTTTTCTTTTGTTCTTTCTCCCTTTATAATTTTGCATCATTTCATTATAATCATGCTTGGTACAGGATGCGAAATAATTTTCACACAACACAAAACAAAACACATAATTACATGCCAGTGAAAACCTACCGACATTCACTGACAGTATTTAAAAGCTAAAATATTCTAAATGGGAGCAGAAACTGGCTTAACACTTGCCTGCACGATCATTTCTATACATCTTAAAATTTGAAAACGAGGAAAACTTTGTTGCCGCTCGAAAGTGTGTGATAAAAGGGTTTGATTTTTAAGCATTCTGATGTAGTTCACAAACATCCTCTGAGACTTAAAAAGCCACACAGTCACTGCGTTTTCAGTGGATTCACTGAAGCTGTCTAAAAACCAACAAAGACTCCAAGCTTAGAAGACCTGAATGAGGAGGGATTCACACAGGCTGGGAGGCAAAGCGAACCGTTTCCTGACATCTTTTGTCCCGGGAGCAATTCATAGCCTACTCAAGTAAACAGAATGGATCCTACTGATTTCACTGAGCTTCGGAAACGCTGCCAGAATAACAATCAAGACTGGAGAATGAGCTACGTTAAAAATTCCTTCTGTTGCCAAGATCTCAACTTTTTTTTTTTTCTCTCTCTTTTTTTTTTTTCCCCCCTTTAGTGAATCCCAATTCTAAAGGCAGTAAGTCTGGAGACGTTGCTGATTTACACTAGTGGCATTTGCAAACAGGAACGCCTGGGTAGCCCATTCTAAACTCAAACTGGGGTGCTAATCTGCCAGTTCGAGCCTACACTTACGCTCACTAGTAAAGGCTCTCATTTTGAAAAGAGAACTCCGTATTTTTTGTAGACTATAGTGACATTCTCTAAAATAATAATAATAAAAAAATAAAGCTGCAGGCGTTATTATTTCACAAATAAATCTAGGCTTAAGTTCAACTTCTTCAGTATAAGCATATCAGTAAGTTTTCTGGACTGAACACATTTTTCTAATTTTTTATTTTTTTTTTTTAATTTACAGCATATTTACCGTATTGTGCCAGTAAAAGGAAAATGATTTTTTTTCCTGCTCTTTCCTGCATCACAGTTTTCATCAACCATGATGAAAAGGAGTCCATGTGCTTGCTAACAATATACTCACTGCCAGTCCAATGCGGAATGACCAAGCCCGTTGCTCCTTTCCTTCTACCTACAGCCAAACTGCTCTAAAAAGTCGGCTCAAGTAACGCTAAAACACCGTATCCAACTACCCGCCCATCCCCTGACTCATGACAGGAGGAGACGGGGATGATTCAGAAGCCCCCCCCGCAGACAGCCAGGCTCTTCTTCCTTTGCCCGACCACAAAGACAATAAAGCAAGCTCTGCCTTTTCAAGAACCAAATAAGAAATCACAACCAAGTTCTTCACCAGACTCTGAGTACAGTATCAGTGCCAAACGTATTCATTTCTGGACCGGTCAGGAAATATTCCTCCCGACCACACCTTCCTCCTACAAAGTGACGACTGCCACGCTGACGTACCTCATGAAGAAATGTTGACAAGTTCATCCCATGCCTCCCTTGAGTTAAAGACCCCAAGAAAGGGATTTCAAACATTTATAACAAACCGCGTGCAGAATTATCATAAGAAAAGATACATGTCCAGGCAAATACCTGTCAGATCGTCCTCCTTCCAAGCTGTACCTTAGGTAGTTCATACCATCTAAGAACTGGCTGCTCGGTAAAGAGTCATCTCCTAGTTCTCTGAGGTCTTCTGGCCTAAGGTACTCTCCTCCATCTCCTGTCATTGTGTCATCACCTTTAAACCAACCACAGAAGGGACAGAGATAAGCACACGCACAAGTTAGATTGCAGTTACGTGTTGGGATCCAGCAGCTGGATGGCACAATAAAGAGGAAAGCATTTTCCACTCAGGAAACACTGCAAACCGCAAGCAATTAATGCATTTAATGAAACTGGCACTCCAGGCAAGATTTAAAAAATAAATAAATGAAAAAATAGAAATCAAGGTGATTAATCAGTTAGATTTAATCGCATTTTTGCTGTCGCACATACTGGTAAGGGACAAATTTCTTTGGTACTTTCTAAAGCATGGTCTCTCTGTTCCTTTATCCATTTTCCTTTTATCCATTCCTTTATCCATCCTCTCTGGTCACAGCTATGTATCACAGCCTGACAGTTTATCATTAAATATAACTACTGACTTGACTGTAAGCTATGCGTTTTCAGCTGAAAAAGTGTTTTCTGTGGCCTTATGCCTGACAGTTGCAAATCCTAATTTAAACTCTCCATTGTCCAAACTCCACATCATATGAGGCTGTCTCACCCATGTTCCAACATCCTTCTGTGATCAGCAAAAAAATTCTTATTTCTGAAGCACGGAGACAGCCAGAAACTGGAAACAAGCTCATACGCGTAGATGGTAATGATCATTAATCTCTGAAGTAATTCATGTTGCATCAAAGCCGAAATGATCATTGTTTATCTGGCACGGTAACCTTTTTGCACATACTCTGAATAACAGGGTTTAATTATTTTTTTTTTTTTAGGTCGAAAATTATTTTCCCCAGGAAATTCTGTCTATATGAAGTCACCGTTTGCTTTTCCCCAGCAGACTCACAAAGCAGATTACATTGCCAGGCGACATGTCGATGTTTCTTTTCATTCCCATTTGCAACGCGGTTTCTCTCCCCAGTTTCTGCCTGGAGATTTCAGCCGCTTTCCCGACGGTTAATTACGACTCTACGAGCCTGCCAGAGCTGCAGGGTGGCCTGCAGAACCGCACAGCATGACCCGAGACCACCGATATCTTCAAACTTTCTCATTTTCTAAGCTGCTTGGGCAAACATCAAGAACCTGAAGCTCAGTTTCATGAAGGAGACTGCAACTGTTATAGAGGAACGGTCTTTCGGGGACTACGCGTTCTGGGGGCAGTAATTCACCCCGATATCCTGAGACACACAAAGGCTTGTAAAGGTTAGTTAAGTGGCATCCATGCTGTTTCAAACAGAATTCATTCGGGCACCAGGACAGCTGCCACTTGTGAGATTTAAAGTCTTAATAAAGCGAAATTGCAAAACGTAATTATTGTTGCTGCTGCTATATCTGGTCGAGCATCTTCCCCCCGCCCCAAAAAACCCATTATTGGTATTACAAGCTACAGGAGTGGAAGAAAGAAACTTTGATATTTGTTTTCATGAAAGAAATCAAGCCAGTTTTTCTAGTTTGATGTTTCAGCTAATAAATAAATAATTTATAATGTGTCATCTAAAACTAAGTAACCTTTGTCTTTTTAAAATATGTTTTGTTTACAGAAATATTATATGTAAAAATGAGGCCTAAATCTTTTCAGTGTAACAACAAAAGCTCTTGAAAATTCCATCTGCCCACATTAAGAGGGAGAAAACTGGGCACAGTTTCACAGAAAACAATAAAATGCATTTAATCATTGCATGTTTCCTGTCTCCTGACAGACGATGCCTCCTGTTTCCTGGGAATGTCACATTATAAAGCATGGGGCTTAGCGAAAACTTGGAAGATATTAAGGCAATGCTGTTAATCAAACAGTAAAAGGAATTTCAAGTTATACTTCAAATAAATGAGATACTTCTAATCACGCCAGACATTCCATCTGTAATAGAAACAAAGGCAAAATCTTCACCACTTTCATCACACCCACATCCTTTAAGAAAAAATAAATAGCCAAACTCTACTCTTATTTCAGCTTTGGCGTCTCATCTAAGAGTTGTCAATAATGGCTCTCAAGTAACACTAGCTGTTTTATGTGATGTCAACAGCTGCAAACGGTAATAAGACTGTCCATGAATATTTCACAACGTCTTCAGAACATTTATCTGTGGGTAAGACAGCCTACTTGCCAGCATACGAGTCTTGAGTGAGCTAAAAGAAGTTTTAAAGAAGAAGAAGTTAAAGAAGAAGAAGTTAAAGAAGAAGAAGTTAAAGAAGAAGAAGTTAAAGAAGAAGAAGTTGAAGAAGAAGAAGATGAAGTTAAAGAAGAAGTTATTCCCAAGTCATTCCCTGCCAACCCCTTCTACCCTTTCATCTTTCCTTAACGAGATGAACTCCCCAAACAAGTAGCGCCTCCTAGTACACGAAAGAGAAAAAATACGCATTTTGTAGGAATGATTGTGTAGGAATATAAAATTTCATATGATTGTGGTTTCCCCGAATATTTTAATTCCTGCTTTGCAGCGCAATGGCATGTACGCAAAGGGAATTATTCCGAGTCTGTGTAACAAGCACTCATTCATCCTGCCAGGAATACTGTGTTGTCATTAAAAGACCTAACACGGCTATATTGACGAGTCTCAGTCAATTCAAACGTACACAGACACATTATCTGCTGAGAAGAAATTACATATTCGGCTGACCATAGGCTTTTTCACACGGCAAATCTTACCAGATGGTAGTTTTGTGGCAGTACAAGAAACAATCCTTTTTAATCATGCCGGAAACGGTTAATCTGCCATCACGTTCCCCATCAAATTAACGACAGTAATGTTTTCACCACTCATTAAGCAGTTTGTGAGAAACAGAGCCCTTGGCAATGATGCTCCACGATTTGCAGTGGCCATCTATGAACTTACAGGCAGATTTTCAAAGAGTAACCCGCTTGGTGATTTATCTTCTAGTTACTTGAAAGAACACCTTCCTTTCTTCAGTGATACCAAGAGACTTTCAGAGGTTTACTTGACAGGTGAAAACACGCTACAAAACACGGGGTGACCTTGTACTGTGCCCCAATTAAAGCATTCTTCTTCAGCCCTGGCTTCATCACTGCTACTGCCCATCCCTCAAATATCCCTAAAAATTTTGTCCAAATCTGCCTTTCTGAATAATGTCATCTTCTTTAGGGCAGGTTTGAAAGGAAATAAAATGTGCTAGAAGGGAGTACCAAGTATCTGGACTCTCTTAAAAGAAACACTGGAGTTTTACTGGTCAGGACACTGGAAAAAGAAGAAGAAGAAAAAAAAAAATTAAAATCCCTAAACCTAGGAATCTATTTATGTTTAAACAAAAAGTGGCCAATAGAGTCCCCGCACTTGCTGCTGCTGTTATTTTTTTCTTTGCAGAGTGCAAATAACTCCCAATGTGACGGGCAGCTGTTCCAGACCGTAAGACACAAGGTGTGATGGTCCCACTGCACTGTTGGCAATAATCTGGTTAGTCCATTCCTCTGTTCCCAGTGGCCAAACTAATGCCCTGGAACAAGCCACAAGACTCTCCAAAAGCATACATTTTGTACAAGTTTGCAACACTTGGGGTTGTTTCTTTTCTGCTCAGAAGGGCCATCGAAGAAAAATCAAAGGAGATCACTCGAAGCAAGAAGATGGATAACAAAGGGTGGGACTGGCAAGGGCCAGGTTGCGGGGACAGC